ATTTTTTACAAGAGGCCTCGAAATACGAGATTCGTTAACCGGCCAAGAAAAAATCGGGCCGATCTCCCTTCCTCTCTTCCGCCCCTCCCTCGATTCTTATCCTCCGTTCGAGGGTCACGCGCAACAACGGTCGATTAAAAATTGAAAATATTCCCCCTTTCCATCCTTTCGTCGACCGCGGCGATGCAACAATAAACGATGACCGCCGAGGGGAAAGGCCGAGGCTTTTCGATTAAAAATTTTCCGAACGTTACGTTTCGAAACTGGTTCCGCGAACAATCTCGGCGCCGTTAATTAATTGACATTTCGCGGGGGAGAAAAAGAAAGCAAATTTGAAAGGACGAGATAAACTATTTACCGATCGATTTCTCATCCGATCCACTTTTCGATCCATAAATTTCCCCTAATTCCTGCCATATCCTTCTCAATCGTTCCTCGAAAACGATCTATTCAGCAATTTTCCGTTTGGAATTTCGTTTAACAATCTCGATTATTTTAGAGACAGGTTAGGGTGCACGCTTGATCCAATTCACTTACGCGCGTATGCGTGTGCAATCACGAGAGAAACGATCCACCTCTAACGCTTATTGCTTCTCCTAATTATCCCTCATCGAAACGTTGTTTGATCCAAGGGCAATCACGCCAATGAATATCGTCAGCAACGCTTAAAGATTCAAAGCGGAATCGAGAGTAACCTCGGCGTGGAGGGTGATAGATCATCGTCCGAAACGGGAAGGAAAACAGGATCGGTGGATACGAAGGATCGAAAGAGAGTCGATGATGATTTCGAGGGAACGCTTGGCGATTCTGCTCGAAACACTGTTATAGAATTTAAAGTTCACTGAAATTTTATATGTAATTTTATTATTGAATGTTGCCAGCAACATCACTATTTCATAATTGCTACCTATTTGTTCTTCTTCGATACACACGCTTCAAATATTAAACAGATACGCGCATTTAATTATAATTAAATATATATTCATTCAGCTAAACTTGTACATTTTTATTTATTATTTTCACTTCCCAGTCGACAAATACAAATCGAGAATCTAATATCGCGAGAATGAGTCTATTAACTGGATATATTCGCAACGATAAAATTTGAGGAAACGTTCGTTTCGAGATGATAAACTTCGTTATCCGGAGTTCACCTTTATTATACACAGTCGTGGGTAACTGTTTCATAGTCGCGGACCGATCTCGCGAACGCTCTAATCTTATTTATCGTAGCGAGAGAAATGGGAGAAGAGATCGTGAAAAGTGAATGTACTTCGATCGATAAACGGTTGCTCGCCAGACAACTTTCGATCCTTATAAACTTTTAGAATTATCGCTATGGATGGGAAGAGCGAGTGGGGCGGGAAAGGTGCTCGTTTGATTACCTAATTCCAAGTTAAATTCCGCTCGCAAAGTGCATCGAGGAGGGAGCGCCGCAGCGTGCGCGATGCGGTTCACGGCAAACGGTCGGAGAGATCTATCTCCGATTCAGGTCAGATTTGTTGGCGTACAACAATACGCGCACACTGAGCTTCCACACGTACGCGTGTACGCGCTCCCTATTCTCTCCTTCTGTCACGCATCGAAATTCCTTTGTGCATCCACGTACCCTCCTTCGATTCGTCGAAAATATATATATATATATATATATATATGGAATGCTTTGTCTCGGTATTTCCCTCGATTTTGATAATTACGATAGGCGCGACGAAAACGCGTAAAGAATTCAGAGAATCGAGGGAGATCGTACACGTTTACCTTTGGGAAATATGTACATATGGCGTGTATGTATTCCGTGAAACTCATCCGCGCAAGTGTCTGCAAATATTTAAATGGCAAACGTGCGTTTAACGGGGAAAGTATCCGTGCGGGCGAAAAAAAACAACGTAAATATATTAATCTGCCGTTTCTTTTCTCTTCTCTTTTTACGGCAATTGGAACAGAATAATTCTCCTCGAACAAGTTTTTATCAATCAAGCTTTAAAATTTCTCGTCTCGAAATCGATTATCCCGTATACGAGATCTTGTATAGATATATATATATATATATAACACGACATCGCATCGAGGCATCGCAGAATTACTCACGCGTGCGGATAGGAGCATAGGATTAAGAAAAAGAAGGGAACTCGGAAACAAAGTTGTCGAAGGTTGTCGCGCCTTTCAAAGTTCCCTCGTCGTCGCGCGCATCGAGGATAAAATTTGGAATGGAACGTTGTTCCCTCCAGAATTTCCTCGAATAATAATTACGCGATGCCGTGAAGAAATAGGAGTAGCTTAGCCCCCTCCCCCATGGCTCGATTAATCGTTGCGTATAATACGAGATTCTTATCTCGCGCGTCATCATCCGTCCGATTATATTCGAATTGTCTCGTCCGTTCGATTATTCTGCGCCGAGTGACGATACGCGCGTCACCCGAATCAGAGGCGGAACCTGAACACGCGTGCTTGGAATTGTCTGAATACTCTCGCGAGAATCCGAATGCGTCTCGAACCTCCCATATCCTCTACCCGTTTAATTACACTCGTTTCACGAGGATTAACCTTCCGTGTCGCTGTGACTCTCCGTTTCTTTCTTTTTTTTTTTTTTCGTATCCGCTTCCTCCTCCTCCCTTTGCTCTCATTCGTTCGAAAAGTTTCTTGTTTACCTCCCTTTTCCTCCCCCCCTCCTATCGTTAGTAGTCGGTTTAATTAAAGCTTAACACAGGTCGAGCACCGCGCTGTCAGCGTTTAAACGAACACGTAGCTCGAGCACACCTTTGCCCCGGTGCTAAATTGGGGAAGATAACGCGGCAAATCTAAGCTTAAGCGGCGTCTCGAGATCGCAGGGAAGGGGACCGTAACCGGTGTAACATTGATTGTAACTGGAAACCCGATACCCGTGTTACGCACGGTAAAGTCCGACCGAGTGAATTAACATGGAACGAGAATACCGCAGAGAGAGGGAGGGACGAAGTAAAAGCAAGTTAGATGTCGGCTAACTGCTATAATTCCAAGACGCAAAGTTTCTTAGGATATCTTCATCCGTTTCTCTCCCGTGTATCTACGCATCTCTTCGTAACGCGGATTACGCGGAGATATCGAGATCTCAGATAGTCTTTCTCTTTTTCTAACTTCGTCTCTCGAGGATCGATAATAGAAAAATCAATCGCGCCAATTTATTTATTAGAATAACTTCTTTCCCTTTTTTTTTTCCAAGTTCAAGATTTTATTAGGTAAATCAGATACAAGATTATTGTTTCAGTCGGATAGACTTGAATTTCGATCTTTCTGTCAATTCTTCGAATTTTCGTCGAGCGATTCCTCTAACTCAACTCAAACTTTCTCTGAACTACATCTGAACGATGCATCGTTTTGCAAATTAAAATGTCCGGCTTTAAATCTTTGCTACGACTTTTTAAGCGTTCTCTTTCAGTGGCGAAAACGAACCATTTCGATAGCTTCGACACCTGATTTTCTAAAATGGAACGCAAAAAGGTAATCAGTGACGCGAACGATGCTTCTCATATCGAAATTGTTGCATTGGAAATTCTTAGAGCGGTCATCGCGACTCTTCTTGAAGGAACGCTCTTTCGGACGACGCCACGAAGGGGAAGTAATTCGAATCTGGTTGGAAGTTACGGTCGTGGAAAAAAAGGGGGAAGGAAGTTATTTATTTGCTTAGTTATATACACTTAATATACGACGTAATATATTTTATTATGCAAACATCCATAGATGTTAACCCTTTTGCGCTCCAAGCCTTTTTCGTCGAACCAACAATTCCAGACGCATCCGTACAGTAAATTTCTTAGCTAACTTAAAATGATTTCAAGTTAAATGTATAAAAATTTTTATTATTATTTTAATACTTTATGTATTTTTACGTATAAAGAGAAGAAAATTTGTCGGGTATTAAAGTCTATATCGTTGTTTTGTGTGGTATTTTTATAAAGCAATTACCAAAATGAATCCTCGGTTTGACAAATATCGCGATAAAATGTCGTTTCATATCTTTCACCTTTCTTATTTCATTAAAAGCATTAAGAGCAATACCAATAATGTGCTCTCATCATCTATTATTCTTATTTTTCACCTTCTTATATCACATCTCTACTTTCATCACTCTCATTTCTCTTCTCTCTACTATCAATTTCTTAAGAAATAATTTCGTTACTCGATAACGAAAAATCAAACTCACCTTCGCTCCAACTAATTTCATTACCGTATTACAAAACTGAAAAACTTTGAAAATATTTCCCATGACTGTGAAACTCGAACTAACTCCGAAAATTAATAGTTCGATCATATCCACGCTTTAGAGTAAGATCATACGCAGAATTTAGGAATAAATTCGCTTCACGAATTTATTTTAAAAAAATCGAACGAAAATAAATATTGTCGCCGTTCGAATCGTCGCGTCGATCCAAGCTGTGACGGGGAGTCACCTCACCGAGTTATCGAATCGAGAGGTGATTCGAGCGCAAAGGGTTGATATTTATATACGTTGAAGAATTTGAACGGTGGTTCGAGCACACACGAAAGAAGGAAAATTCGAAAGGCAGAGTTTTCTCTCCTTTTCCCTTTCCTGTTGGTTGGCTAACAATGTTGACGCGTCCGAACGGCGGATGCCAATATTTGGCCGGCGTCCCTCCAAATTCTTAGGGGACGGTCGCGAAAGAAACGAAGGATTGGAAGGATGAAATAAGTTAGGGCGGGGACCGAGTAACCGAACCTTGTCGCGAAACTTGTACGCCGGCTAATGCCATTGTAAGGGGCAAACTTTATCCTCCTATCCCTCCCCTCCTCCTCCCCCCACCCTACATCTCCCGTTCTATCATCCCTCGAGTACGGCCTCTCCTCGTGTTCGCAGGCCGTGTACACACATGCGTTCTCGATCCTCCCGTATAATCGTAATCGTATCCAGTGGAAAATGGTGATAGTGGTGGAGAGTTTTTGGAAATAATAATTTAAATATGGAAAGATGAGGTTTTTCTTTTTTATTCCCTCGTTTGTTCCAGGCACAACGACCTACCGTGGAACATACGCAAGTTCTTGAAGAATCAGCTGAGGGAGTTCAGGTTTGATGACCTGAGGGATACCCACCCCTGGTCCCGAAGCGCGTGGAGCCACACGGATCTGAGAAGATTGAAGGAGGGCATGGTTGCTGCGCAGGTGAGCGCGATGATAACCGCAACAACCTTCCGTGAAAAGACATTAATCCGGTGGAAAGTGGAGCCAAGACCGAAAACGGACGATATATATATATATATATATTTTCTGGACGTCCAATTACTCGTTGCGAAGCATCGCTACTTTTCTCCCCGAGCAAATATTCTCTCGAGGAGGAGGTTGGTGAAAGAGCCGGTGCATCACCCATTTGAAACACTTTTCGAGAAAAGTCCTTTCTCCCTCGAGCCACGATTTATAGCCGGACGAAAATTACGAGCTCTACCCTCTTTCGTTTTCTTCCTTCCTTCTTTCCAAGATCGGTGGAATGGCGCGGCCACGACGAAATCGGACAACAATACGCGTCCGTTCGAATAGCTCTCGAGAAACGATCTTCCTCCTACGTTGGATCGCCAATTAGTCGAATCGAGCGAGCGATTTTCAGAGAGAGTTGGAGTAGCGCGTAAACGATGGAAAATCTCGTGTCGCTTGACCAAGCTAAACGTAAAAATCGTTTCAAGTTGCGTTCGGGACGAAACGAGCCGAATCGCGTGTCTCCGTCTTTTAACCCTTCACGATGTTTCAATTACTTTTCCTTCCTTGTCTCGTTCGTATAAACCAATCGATCGAGACGAACGCGTACGAAATCCCTTTTATCTCTGTCATTAGTCGATCGTTATCACGATTATCTCGCAAACGCGGGTTCGAAAAGGTAAAAATTCGAATCTGTTATATTATCGAGCCGAATAACGAAGAGAATAGATTCTTTTTAGTAATCGATTTCTCGCATTTGTCCGATATTCCGCGGCGACGAAAATTAATCCGTTCGATTAATCTCCAAGCATTCTTTTTCTCCGATTTTATTCGTTCGAATCGACTCGAAATATTTCGGTCAGAAACTCCTCGTCCTCGGAGAAGGAATCGTCCCGGCCACCAAATTAAAAAGCCAAACTTGCCACTCGATTTCCGGCCTATTCCCCAATCGAATAAATCTTTTCTTTCTCTCGTCTCGTTTGGAAAATGATCGATCGGAATCGTTTCACGAAATCGAACGAAGACGTGACTCGAAACCGTCGGGAAGAGGGAAGAGAAAAGACTATTTCGTGGAAAATAGAAAATCGCCATCTCTTTTGTACCCGGCTTTCTGTACCCTCGATGATGACGTTACGTTAAACGTAATGGGGGAAGAGGGGGGGGGGAGAAGATTGCGGTGATGGAACGGAAAATTGTGATTGTTACAGCTTCCTTCCTTGAGGAAGGAAATAGAACGAGAGGAACGGTTGCGATCGCGCGAATCCAGCGATAACCGATTCCTTCGTTCGGTCTGTCCAAAGTGTGGGGAAGCTTAATCCGACAATTTTGCACGGAAACTCGACCAAACTCATTATCGGGATTAACATTTCCCTTGATCACAATTTATCTCGTCTTATTCCCTCTCGAACAGAGATAGAGAGACAGAGGGAATATGCACCTCGATATCGATTTTCGATTTCTAATTCTGTACCGTGAACTTAATACGAACGAATTACGTAAAATCGTTTACCCGATCCTTCGAATAATCTTGGACTTTTATCTTTTAATCGTAATCCACGTAATTTTCTTAACGAGATTCCTCGAAGAGAGAGAGAGAGAGAGAAAGAAAGAAAGAACGGTTTTTACTCGATAAATCTAATGAAAACGTCGGTTTCGACATCGTTTCGATTCTCTGTTCCTTCGTTGGAAAGGACAGGAGCACCAGTTGAAAGAAGCACGCGTCTAAGTAATATCGCGCGGACAAAAGTAGATTATAATTTCACTGGTTTGCGTATAAAAGCCGGGCAACGTATAGCAGCAGTAGTAGTAGTCGGTCCCTCGACACGCCCTTTCTAAACGAATCGCCACGCGCGTTACGTAATGAAACTGGCTACCTGTGAAATTGCTTTCGCGATGAATTTCGTTTCGTTATCGCCGACCAACGCCCCTCCCGTATCCGCCGCGACGCGACCTCGACGCGAGTCTGGACGGAAGATATATATTTTTGACACGGCCTCGAATATTGTTTCGCACGAATGCCGAATTCGATGAAGCGCGATCTTTCGTTCTTCGAGTTAAGAATCCGCCTCGCTGTTGAATAAATATCGCTTCACTCTCGATGAAAACTCGTGGCTAACTGTACGAATGTGTGCCTGCCTCCTCCCAAAGGGAGGAGATATTTAAATTCCCGTGGAAACGCGACTATCGAATCAATCGAAATAAAGTTCGAAATCCGAGGAAAAGATCGTAGAAGGGGTGTAAAAAGGGTGTAAAAACATAAGGTGGCCCTCCATTTTCTTCGAACCAGGCGGTTCCCCTTTATCCTTGAGATGGAGGTTTAACTTTAAAAAGTGGGAAATGGAATTCCATGGAGGAGAGAATCGGCCGTGGCTCCCTGCGCCGTTCGATCTTGGAAAGAGAAGATCTTGGAAAACACCTTAGCCCCGATTGCTCGTTAACTAGAAATAGTCTCCCTGCTATTATATCTATTAGAAGCTCGTCTGGAAGGCGCGATTACGCGGGCAAAGGAGGGCATAAGGGATGATAAAGAGGAAGGCAGCGGGTGGTTGCGAGCGAGGGTTGAAGAAGATCGCTCCATTTTACTTTCTCTCCTCTGGTGTTACATAACGCGAGAGGGGTATGACAGGCGGGAAAATTCAAATGATTCTACGCGCACTTCTTCCACGCGTGGCGCACGACGAGCGCAACGCGGTCCAATTTAATTAATAGCGTGATTAAAAGGGAATACTAATTACGCAAATAACACGGAGCCGGGTTATGATTATGAATTGCCGACGACGACGGAGGGGAAGCGTTCGAGTTGAACGATAAACAAGCTCGAACGTGGAGAAATTTAGGGGAAAGGTTAGGCGTGGGCGTAGGCATCGCGTCGAACCGCGGCGTTACACGGGCGGCGATAGGCGACAAAACGATCGTCTAATTTTATGGGTCGTTTCTCAAACGTCAACGCTCGCCCCCCGAAGGCATTCAGCTTGCTTACGTGGAGAGGAAAGGGGGCGACTGGCCGGTTATGCTCACTGAAACGAACGCGCGTGTATGCATAATATACACGGCGCCGTTGTACGCGTGCACAGGATATATCTGGCGAGCCAGTCTCGACTCGATCCATCACTGTCTCGGTTAATTCGGACGGAGAGGGAAGGCATCCGCCGCGGAAAGGTTACGAAGCATTGATCGCCCTGCCATCCCTTATATACTCCACTACTCGTAGTCGGAAATGCCGTAAGGGCGCACGTAATCTTGTTTACGTACGAAACGACCGATTTCGATCGCATTATGCGCTACGATATATATATATATATATATATATATAGAGTCCTGGATTTTTCGAGCCGAGAAGTTCTCGAGTCCGATGCATGGAAAATCTACAACGCTGTACAAGCGTTTCCGATTGCACCCGGGAGGTAGGTATCCCCGAGCAATCGGTCGCGATTCCTGCCCGCTACGTTCCAAAAGTGAATTCCAACCGATTCGAAATAACTCGAGTCGTGCTCCATTCAAAACGTTCGAGCTTCGGGGAATTGGGTTTGAACCCGATGTCTGATAGCGAGAAGAATGCGCGTATCGAACGGAAAGCTCGAGATACCGGCTTTCGGTACGCGTTCCACCCTGCGAATAATTCTAACTCCAGCGCGATAAAGCGGATTCTAAAAAGGGGAAGAGAGAAAAAAAGAGAGAAAAAAAAGGGAGAGCGTGGGCCGTTTGAAGGACGGTGGTGATCCCTCGAGAACGTTTAGCCTCGCTCGAGAGAACGTTGCACGCGGATGTTACGCACGATCTAATTTCACGAAAGGGCCGTCGCAGACCCGGGGCGCGAGCATCGTCTTTAAAGTGGGACAACACCGGCCGATTATACCCGTCGTCGACGGGGGAGTGAATATTTTTACGGAACGTCTGACCTAAAACTAACCCGTCTCCGATTTTGCGCGAAACGTCAACGTTTGGAGGAGGGGAGGGGAAAAAAGGAAGAGGGGAAAAAAAGGAAAAAATCGTACAACGAACACACGATTTTATATAAAATATCCGACCTAAAATTCGAGGCGAGCTGGATGCTAACGAGACATTGGAACAAAGTTTTTTTCCAAGCAAACAGTTCCCCGGTCTTTTCCGTGCGTTTAATCGTCGCTCGATTCGCTATCGCGGAACACGGATCAAAAAGCCGACGATTGCGTTCGAGTATAAAACACGGTATATACGGCGTTATACGCTTGTATTTCGAGATGCAATTTCATTCTTTTTTTTTCTTCTTTCTTTCTTTCGCGAGTAGCGACGAGTCGTTAATTAAGAATAAATTCTCGTCGAGGGTGAAATTGTTTGATAACAGGCCGGCGGAGGAAGGAATTAATTGCGAATTAACGAGAAATCAAAAAGTTTGCGAGAACGCGGTTTCGTTTCGCGGAAACCTCTTTTGCCCTCGACCCAAGCCTCCAACCGTGTATAATCTCCGCCGCGGCGATTTAAATTATTGTCGTTTCGCAATTAGCTCCAGGAGGGGCAGAAACTCGGGCGGTGTTTATGTAACTCGTGACAACGAGAAAGAGAAAATTGCAAAAATCCCTCCTTCTGGACGGGTAATGAAGTCGCGGAAAGGTGTCGCGTCACGCGTTAAAACCGTTTGACGGAGGAAGAAGAGAAAGAAAGAAGGATAATAAAGGAGGGAGGGAGGAAAGCGAGGGGTTGGAAAGCGTCATCCGTTGATTTACGACAACACCACGACGCTCCGAACCCGCGTTTCGTCCAGTTAAAAAACGAAACGAAATTTGTCTGCGTATCTAATGTATGTACGCACGCGTTTTTTATTTTAAATAAAAATATTTACACGATGGCGTCGTCGTGTAAAATAAAAGTGTAAAAGAAAAAAAAATAAAAAAACGAATTCAGTAAAAATTTTTTTTAGCAAGTCTTAGAATTCGAGTCGAATTCTGAGACTTTCTGAGATTTCTTTTTACGAAAGAGGGGGGTTATTCGGCGGAGATATCGAGAGAAATGGAAGAATCTAGTCTAGGGATGGTAAGTATTATCGAGCACTATTCGGTCCCGTTTGACGGCGTAACAACGATCGAGCGGCGTACAAAAGTAGTTTTTATGCGAGCTCACGTTCACCCCTCTTATCGGCTCGAATGAAATATCGCGTTTAATCCTCGGGATCTGATACATCGGTTTAATTCACTCCAAGTAGAATATATTCTTAGCCGGTGTATATACATTGCGAGCCAGTAGGATAAATACTCTCTTATTTATGGCTCCCGATATCCACCTATTTAAAATTCAAAGCGGCGTCCTGCCTGTACCACGGTTTCGTAATACCTCTTTTTAATTATTTCCAAACTTTTTTATCCGATAACGAATCGAAACGAGAGAAATTACCATCTCTTTACGGATATACTAAATCTTTCCCTGTCGTCGAAACTCCAATTCGCACGATTAATCGTGGCAAATCGAATTGATCGAAACGAGCGATAAAAGGCAAAATGGCGACTTTCGTTTCGATTCGAAAAGAGGCGATGTTATTATTGAGCGTATTTTTTATTTATAAAAAAAGAAAAAAAAAAGTGAAAAAAAAGAAATGCACCTCGATTACGTTCCTTGTTGGTTGTTGCAGTTTTGGTCAGCTTACGTCCCCTGTTCCTCCCAACACCTCGACTCGGTTCAACTGGCGCTCGAGCAGATCGACCTGATTCGTCGACTGGTCAACAAGCATCCTGAAAGCATGGTCCTCGTCACCACGGCGGAAGGTGAGGCATTTCCCCTTTTCGCAATTCTACTCCTTTGTAACCCAACTCGTGGGTTACAAACCGCCACGTTTTCAAGATACAACGTCGATTCGCGTCATGGAATGTTTACACGCGACGGAGAGAGGAGAGAAAAAGAAAAAGGAATAAAAGAAAAGAAAAGCGAGGAGGGGACGAAGAGTCGGCTCGTTTTTTTTCCACGCGGCCTATATAACGCGGTCAAAGGTGAGAAAATGAGAGTAAAAAGATTATCCAGTTACACATTATGCGAAGATAAATTTTCAATAGCGCGCGCGCCACTCGCCTGGCATCGGGCCAAACCGATTCGATTTCTCCCTCCGGCCGAATTGTTATCGACTCGCTCACCCTCCTCTCTCGTCAAAGAATTCCCATCGAAAGCGTGACCTATTTTCTTTTTTTCCCTATCTGGATCCACGTTAAAAAAGAAAAAAAAAAAAAAAAAAGGAAACGAAGCGGTCTCTCTCGTGACGATTACCGAGACATCTCGAGTACGAAGTACGCTCGGTGACAAACGCGAGTATTTGTTCGTTGAACAAATTTTGCGCGTACATGCAAACCACTCGTTACACGCCCCTATTAGATAACCGGGCTCGAATTAAATCGTCGGCGAAAGTAAACGGAAATACGGCGCGGATCGAACAACACGCGATTGCTGCCCTCCGAGTTGGAGAGAGTATCGCTGCTCTTTAATAGAATCGCCAAACTGGTTCCCAAGTTAAACACGGAATTATTAATTGCCAATCGGATCTGGTATAATGTAAATATACGGTGCGTTCGTCTTTCGACACAGAATCTCTCCTCGCGCTCGGGAACGTCTTTCGCCAGTTTTAGAGGACCTACAGATATATACGTGGATGTATATATATGTATATATCGTACGTTCTTAGTCAGCGTTCTCTCGCGAAGGAAGGCCCATCGTATTCGAAAATCGTCCATCTCTAGGATCTCTGGGAGGGTGGAAGGAGTCGTCTTCGGTTCACACGCGAAGAATATGAAATCGAGGTCGACGAACGTCGGGAATTACCATCCCCTATTTGTTCCGAGAATGGGCCGTTCGACGTTACACACCGCCACAATTTCTGGCGTTCCGCCAATGTCAGGGGGCGGCTGGCTGGCTGGCTGGCTGGCTGGTGGCTGGCAGACACCCTCGAAAAGAATTCCCAGACCTCTCCATCCGGAGAAAATCTTGGTGGAGCGAAATCTTCCACGCCTCTGCCTTAACTCTCGCGTCTTTTCCGTTTTAATTAATTCCTCGTCGCGTTCGACCGGCTCGCGAGATGGATAATAAATGAACTCGCCCCGAGTTACTCGTCCCCCTTACGTGCTTGGAAAACAATCCGTCGTTCGGCGGAAAGGAAATTTACCCACGTACGATATGAAAGGTTCGATCGAGATCGACGAATCCCTTCGAACAACCGGCCTTCCTGCGTTCGCTTCCGGTTGCCCGTTCTCGGTCGCTACGAGATTCGCTGGACAGGTGCCAAAACGTCCAACGGGATGGAATCCCTGCCCGTCGTCCTTTCGCAGTGGAAATCTCGGGCCAGCTCCCTCCTCCCCCTCCTGTTATTATCGCCGCCGTGAATACACTTCTCGAGAATTTAGGACGTCGCGAAAAAAGATATCCATCCTCTCCGCAATTCCCTTGTCCCTCGTTGATGGAATAGTTCGACGGTTCGTCTTTGATACGTCTTCTTCGATCTCAAGATCGTCGCCATGATTCGTCACGAATTTAAGAGAGAAGGAAAAGGACGAGGACTGGTGGAGGACGAAGCAACGAACGCTTCGTTGATCGTTCGACTCGATACTTTCGAAGGACGAGAGAAGGAGACACTCGTTACGCGACGAAGATGATAACGAAAGGAGAATTTTTTCGAAATGGATTCGAAAGCTAAGTTTCGATCTCGCGAGAGTTCAGGGCGCTGCGCGATAATCCTCGAAAAACGTAACGCGGATCCGATGAGAAAATATCGGGCCGACAGGGGGACGGAAGATTCAGCCGGTTGTAAATTTCAAGTGAAATGGAAAAATGTCAAGCCGCAGCCGACCGTTCGATAAGCCGAACCACACGGCGGCGCGGCTTCGTGTCGGCATGCACATGCATATGTAAATAGACACGCGATAGCCGTATAAAGGAACGATTGTTCGAAATTTGCAAGTTGCTTTTTCCCTCCGCCGAAACATATCTTTGCGTTATCCCGATGATTTATGCGCTACACGCTTGTGCCGCGATATCGACGGAATATTCAACTATGATTCGAAAGAGAAATCGAAAAACTTATCGAAATCGAGACTCGTAAATAATTACGAAATTTACTTACAATTGTTTCGTCGCGGTGGCTTGAAAAGTGGTGGACTTCTTCGGCGAAAAGATCGAGTAAAGTTGAAACACGCGTCGCTCGAAGGAAGGCCGATACGAGACTGATCTCGTGGAAACAAAATTTAAACGCACGCCAAGGTGACACGAGCCGCGTTGTTTTCTTATGGCGTCGTCTCGTCTATCGTATTGGATTCTAAGAAACAAGGGTACGGAGAAGTCGGTGTGTTTATCCGAGCCGGTTGTTGCCTCGGGTCGGGAAACTTTCGACGTGGCGAAGCTACGTACCATCGCGCCCGTGCTGGATACTTTGGAACAATAGTTCAAAATGTCCCCGGGAGTTGGAGGAGGAATTTACGAGGCAAGAAGACGAACTTGCCGCCACCGTTTATGATTTCTCGCCCGAGAAATCCAATCGAATTATCGCTCCAAATTCCTTCGAGAGATCGTAAAGCGTGATGTTTTGTATTGAAAGAGCGAGGAAAAGAGGAAAATTGTACGTGGAACGAACAGCTTTCGGAAAGAATCTGGCGAATTCTCGCATCGCAAATCGATGAAAAATCGCGTCGTGGAAACGCGTATAACGGACGAAGTACGAACGAATGCAAATAAATTCGTCGCGGCTCACTGTTCCCCCTGTTTCTTTCCATTTGTCCTCTAATTACGATTAAATACCAGAGAAATGAAAGAAATTAAAATTGCTCGATACGAAGGAATAATTTCGCCTGCTCCATTTCACTCCATTTCGCGGCAAGAGGGAAGAGATAAATGCGCGCGATCAAGATCCGTATACACGTATACGCGACACGTAGGATATATAGAAAGAGGATATAGAATCCATCGGGATTATAGGTTTTCGAGTAAATTCGTCGAGCCGCGGAGAATCGGTGTTCCATTAGCGAGGTTGGAAAAGCTGGATCGCGTGCGGTCGAAAGCGGAAAAGTTCGAATTCCCCGCGATAAATGGCGGGTGGACATCCCGCCGGGGGTTGGCCTGAAGCGGCGCGAAAACTCTCTCTCTCTCTCTCTCTCTCTCTCTCTCTCTCTCGTCCATCCGCCAGCGTTATATATCCGCGGTGTATCGGTATCCCGGAACCGGCGACCTAACGCAATTTGTTCGCGGTGTTTTAATCGAATCCGAACGACACCGAGGCTGCGAATCCGATTTCACGGAGGCCGATAGTCGTGCTCCCCACCTTTACCGACCGGACTCGATTAAAACGATTAAACCGGTCGGGTTGCCGATCGAATTCACCGGCTCGCTCGCTAAATACTGACGCGATATAAACCCGGCCGCAAGAAGGATCCGGCCGAGGGTGTCCGGTTCTCGAACGAAATTGGCCAACAACGTTCCATTATTCTATTCGCGTTGGGATTAATCGAGCCTCGTTTACGCTTCGTAATTAATGATCCGGCCGATAACGGTGGACCGCCGGCGGTCTCCAATTTAAACGATTCAATTAGACCGGCGATCAAAAGTGACGGGTGACTTTAATTAATCGTGAGTGAAAGGTGACGAATTCGAGACGTCGCGTGTTTTGTGTTCTTTTTGTGAAGCAATGGATGATCGAAAACGAGTGACAAGTGGCTTTTAGTGGAATAATGAGTGAGAGGTAATATTAAAGAAGTCGTAACTTATTAACTTAAGCCAACGATTAAAAGTAACGAGTGAGTTTGATTGATTGTATATGGTTTAAAGTGACGAATTCGAGACGTCGCGTGTTTGAGATTTGTAATATTTTTTTGTGAAGCAACGGAAACGATGATCGAAAACGAGTGACAAGTGGCTTTTGGTCGATCGTGGAATAATGTGAGAGGCTTCGTAATATTTGTATAAAGAAGTCGCGACGAAGCCAACGATTAAAAGTGGCTTTAATTAATCGTAAAGTAAAGGTACGAACGACACGTGTTCTGATGCGCGATATATTTTTGCAATAAAGCGAACGAAACCGACGATTAAATGGGACGAGTGGCTGTAATCGTACATAAGAGAGTGATAGATAAGGAATTTGAGATATTCGATGTGAAATTTTCCAATATTTTTTCTTACAATCGAAAGAACGATCGAAAAGCGACAAGTGGCTTCTTATCGATCGATGGGATAATACTGAAATTGTTTAATACCAGGCTTCGTAACATTTGTATAAAAAAAGTTGCAACGAAGCCAATGATTAAAAGTGACGAGTGGCTTTAATTAATCGTACGTAAAGTAAAAGGTAACGAATTTGGGACGTGTGTTTGATGCGAGACTCTGTAACATTTTTTATAAAGCGTTGGAATGAAAAAGTGACAGGTGACTTTAATTATTCGTACGTAGAATAATACGAGAGTGCTTAATACGTTTAATACGAGGTCTCGTGATATTTTTATAAAAGTGTTGCGACGAAATCAACGATTAAAAGCGACGAGTGGCTTTAATTAATCGTACGTAGAGTAAAAAAAAAAGGTAACGAATTTTCCACGTACATTTGATGTGAGATTTCCTAATATTTTTATAAAGTGTTGCAATGAAATCGATGGTTAAAAATTGACTTTAATTAATCGCACGTAGAATAAAATAGAATTTGAAATATTTGACGCGGGATTTTGCGTAATAATTTTGCGAAAAAGTGTTGCGATAAAACGATTCGATGTCGAAAGTGGCAAGTGATTTTTCGTATAAAGATATTCATCGTACAAAGATAAGAAATATGAAACGTTGCGATACTTTCTTTTATAGAGATGTGCTTAATTAAATCGACGATCGAAAGTGACGAGCGGTTAATTAATCGTACGCGGAGTAAGAGAATGTAAGATACGTTATTACCACGAGATTCCGTAATATTTTTACAATGAAGCGTTGCAATAAAATGATGAAAAGTAATTTTTAATTAATTACAGATAACGTAAAGATAACGAATATGAGATGCGCTTATTCCGTAATATTTTTATAAAGAAGTGTTATACGATAATTATAACTGGTAAAACATCGTTCACCAGTGAGATTGCGTAAATGAGATTGTTTTTATATTTTAATATACAATATGTTTATTTAGCTTCGAATCTCTACTACTGCATTAGCTTTCAATTTTATCATTGTCTAAATAAAATCAATAAACCGTTCTTAAATTACTTACAATCCTGATAATATAAGATTCTATACTATTCTTCTTTTAAACGATACAATAATAAATAAAAACACATTTAGACTTTTTAATTCAGATTCGTTAAAAAGCTTCAATATTTTCCACAACGAATAAAACTACCTATAAAACTAACTCTTTCTCTCTTCAATACGTATTACAAAATTATCTTCTCGATCAAACGTAAATAAAACTCTTTGTTGTATCGCGTATTCACCAACCAACCAATTTATATACAATTTATATACACATATATACGTATATTTCCGGTAAGGAAATTGCGAAGGGTGTCTGAAGGGAATGGGGAGGAAGGAGTCCGTAATAATTAGCCGAATGACGGTACTTGAGAAGATTCGCGATAAGGGTGGAAGTTGGGAGTCGTGTCTACGCAATTACAACAATAATAATAATAATAATAATAATAATAATGATGATGATGATGATGATGATGATGACGAGAATGGAAGAGAGAATTGAAGGAGGGTTTAACGTGTGGTTTCAGGTATAGAGAGGGCTCACAAGGAGGGTAGATTAGCGAGCCTGATAGGGGTCGAAGGGGGCCACGCGGTTGGAGCGAGTCTGGCCGTTCTGAGGATGTTGTACGAGTTGGGCGCCAGATACCTCACCCTCACGCACACATGCAACACGCCTTGGTGAGTTTACCAATCGAGACGTATCGTCCCAATCGATACGATCCTTAGATCGGATTAGATCTCGAATGGAAAATCTACGGCGCTCGTAGAATCGAAAATCCTTGTTCGATTGATCGTTGCTGTGAAACCTCTGACTTGCATTTAGGACACGCGTGAAGCAATACGTAGGCATCGATATCTCTCACGTGGTGGAAAACCGTTTCGAAGACGCTGGTCGAACGTCGAGACAGCTGTTTCAAGTTCGCGATGCGAGAGATTCGAAATTACGTTAGGATTGGAAATTGGTGCGATTCAGCTGCCATATACATGTATACAGAATATATATATATATATATATGCATACATATATACAGAAATATTATTCGAGAACAAACAATGGACGAATTTCCTTTTGGGAGACGCGACGGGCTGCGGCGAGTACACAGTAGTAATGAAAAACGAACGACAAACTGGACGGGGACCAATAAAAAGTCTCGAATGAAGCGCGGCTTTTGCGAGAGACACCGGTCGCCCTGTGTGAAATAAAGTCAGAATTTATTTTTTTTCACGCGCGCGCGCACCAAAGGTGCGAAAAAGTGAAAATTGCTCGAGGGTTGATATCAATTAAACCCGAATAAGGGAGGATCGGAAAAATATGAATACGAAGCGATAATCTCGCGGCAATGGTAAACTATTCCAAGCGCTAATATCGGAGCAAAAGCTGCTCGATTCGGTTTAACGCGAGGTTTAAAGGCCTTCGATCCTCCGTTCCCTATAACCGTTAAAACTTCCGCCTCCCTTGCTCGTAATATCGTGGAACAAAGGATAGTTAACGCGAATAAAACTTTCATCGAGCCGCTATTGTCTCGGTTTGGTGAACGCAAACAAGTACAAGTACCGACTTTTTAACAATAAGGGAACAGCGTTTAACAGGGTGGCGCGTAAGTTTGCAAGTTTGGGACACGCGCGAGAAACGTTGCGAGAAGCAACGTGCACGTGGGCGCAAAGGAAAGGCAAAGGGGTTTGAAAAGGTAGGGAGGGATGATCGACGATTTTATCTTTTGGCCGTGAAATTTATACCGGAGAGGCGAAACCTTTATTTATGCGCGATTACGCAACGAATCGGTGGCGAGACGATGAATCATGGCCGGATTAATGGAAAACCGTAACAATATTATCCGCGTTACGGAATTTCCCATATCGATCGCGCGTTTTACGACTTCGATTTCATCGCCCTCCCTAATAATAAATATCCTCGCATAGAAACGATTTAATCCATTTGTTGCGTTAACCGCTACGCCGCTTGTATTTTAAATCTGTTTTAACGTGAAACGTTTCGCGTTTTACGAAACACGAGTAAAAATTAATTATAAAATCGCGCGAGAAAGGATTTTCACTTGTGTCGTACCGTTTGATTTTACGCGTTGCGAAAGGAAAAACAAAGCGTTGTATAAACGGGGAACGAAATCGCGTAATTCGAATCGGTTAATCACGGTGGTGCCTCTTGATCGAGCCATAACGATAAAATGATCTCGGTCGAACGATCAAGCACGGGCGAGGCCAGGATCCCGTATAAACGCGTTCTCTCCGAATTCATCGGCGTTCGCCCCTCGAATCGATCGTCCCGCCGCCTGGCGTCACAAACGTCGCATCATCCGTTCCGTTTCCGAGGTTGGAGAACATCGAGCTAATACGCGCGATTATCGGGACGGGCGAAATTGGCCGGACTTCTCGGTGCCGGTTCCACGCCTACCTACGTCGTCTATCCGTAATCCTATCAACGTTGAGAGATGTTTACCGAATCCGTCGGCCAAACGTTATCGTTCTCGAGCAAATTCGTCTCGGTGATGGTAATTAATCCCTCGTGGACAGAGATTTATCGGCCACCGCGCGCTAAGCAAGGCAAGGGAGTTTATTTTCGACGAGAGGCGAAATCGATTCGAATACCCGCCTTTATACGAACGAAGACGTTCGTCGACGCGATCGGTCGTTGTTAGCCTCGACGAACAATTCCAGCCGCGTCGCTTGGCTGGAATTGGCGTGTGTATACGCGCGTGTGCAACCGTAGTGCGATTAGAGGTCCATTGTACGACGATAATGCCGAGGATTGTTGGCATTGAGTTACTGACCTATTGGTTCGTTAGGGCAGAATGCAGCACAGCGGATGAACCCGGTCAAGTGGCACGCATCGGCGGTCTGTCCAATTTCGGCAAGGTGAGTGGAAAAGAAGAAAAAGAAAGAGAAACCAACCCTCTCTTTCCCCCCTCTTTCGATCGATTCAACATTCCTGTTGAACATAACCTGTGGTTAACCTTTGCCCGCTTTCGTTTCTCTCAACTCCGTCGTTATCGGAGTTAATGGACGCGAATTATCCCTTCGCGAGGGAAGAAACAACGCGCGTGGTCTTGAGTTAGATAAGTTGGCCCGTTCCTTTTTTGCCCCTTCCACTTCCAACCAGACTGGATTTTCCGGAGTGAGCGACGGAAAAGGAACCTCGCCCGTCCTTTTTTGCGACCGCGGATTAAAATATCCGTCTATCCGCTCCGGTTACGCGTTACTTTGCGAGATGACACTCTCGTCCCTCCCTCCCCCTACTTTTTTACTCCCTATTAAAGCGACCGTAAACACGGAGGAGGAAGAGGGAGGGGATACGACTCGAGGAGGAGAATCGAAGCGAGAGAAAGTACTGGCCTGTTCCGGAGTTTGAAACGCGGAAGGGGAGGGGGGGAAAAAAAAGGAAAAAAAAAAAATGAGATATAGCAAGCCGTAAGATATCCGATCTTGATATCGGGGGGAGGGGAACGCGAGTTATTTATGAAAATTACCCGCTGGCATTCGCGGTATCCGCTTCCAAGTATTCATGAATTCCCGGGCGAACGTTACCCTTATGCGAAAGAAAATTATGGGCCGCATCGATCAACCCCGGGGAACAATCGTTCGCGTTTCAAGCATATTTCAAATGATCGAGTTCTCGATTGAATTTTTCTGAAGAGGAGGAGGGGGAAAGAAGAAGAAGAAGAAGAAGAAGAAGAAGAAGAAAAGAGAGAAAGAAACCAAGGCAAGTTCGGCGTAAATATTTACCAAACTTTCATCGATTGGGCGAGAAGAAAAGGAAGGAAAAGAAGAGGAGGAGGAAAAACCATTTCTCCCGTGGGAGAAAGCTGTTCACTTTGCCGCGCGATGCTACTCGTGAAAACGTTCATTCAAAAATGGAGGATAAGCGGATAAGCTCCCAGGGACATTCTTCGTATTCGAATATGCGGGAAAAATAATTTGAAAAGTAGATCCGCTTTCGATACAAACGGCAACTGTCGTTCGACGCGTGATTCCTTGGCTCAAACGCAAGCTTCGTCCTTTTTTTAACCTTCCTTTTAAAACGACGTTAATCCAGAAATCGCTGGACCATCGAGATACAAGCTTAGAGCTTGAGCTTCTTCCTTTCTCGCGAAGTGACGGGGCCAAGTTACGAGTGCTCCGTGTTTTATTTACCGAACGGCAGAAAAATGGCGGGCAATCCCGAGAGATGTTTTCCAAGGGAGGGAGGAGATACAAGGGAGGAAACGACTTTAGGCCATTCTGACCGCAGATATAAAGCAGAGGTTACCCCCCGTTGCCAACAACCCGAAACGAGAAAATATCATGCTCGTGTTAACGGTCGTGTTCCTGCCGCTTAGTCAATTTCATCGCGATCTAATTATTTTCTCATTTCTCGCGTCGTGTTTTTCGAAACGATCGCGTTCATAACTCACACGGGCCGAGAGCAGTGCACGTCGCGTACTATCATTGCAATTTTTTTCTCTACTTTAATCGACGAGACAAAAGTTGACGTTCCTCGGGGATGTTTTTCGAAGGGGAAAAGAGATAGGATAGAAAAGAAGGGGTAAATGGAGAGGGTGGATTCTTAGGAGGGAGGAGGGGAGGAAAAAAGAAAGGAGAAACGTATGAGAAACGACTTGGAAACTGTGGTGGTCTCGACTCGAGTCGAGGAAAAGTTCCACCGGAGAAGGAGGATGAAACGAAAAAGAGGAGAGGCCGTTTAAATATTCGATGAAGACCGTTTACGTTTTTCTTTTTTTTTTTTTCTTTCTTCCCTCGCGATCGTTTTAGCCTCGTTAAACGACCAGATATGAAAAATCGTTTCTTTTGTTCGCGTAATCGGGACGGACGCCTATCCCGCGCTCGATCATCTTCTCGTCGCTTCACCCTTCCTTCCTTCCCTCTTCCTTCCCCTTTCGAAAACTTGTCGCGATCCAAGTCGAACTTTGCGCTCTGTTCGCCCGAAGAAACAGGGGAAGGGGAGGAAAAAAAGAGACAGAAACGAACGCACGAACATCCGGCAAACGTCGTTCAGAAATTTGCTCAGCCCAACCTTTCCACGGAAAATGGCGGTACGTAGCAGCCTATTTTAAGTTTTCACCGCGAAATTTCGGATTTGTTTCCTCGCTCCGCGTTTGTCTTCCCCCACTCTCTCGTTTCTATTCTTTTCCTCGCCGACATCTCGTTCCCCGCAATTTTGCCGCATTATCCGCCAAACTTCCTGTCTATTCGCGCGAAGGAAACGAACGAAACAACGAGACGTCGTTTCGCGACGCGACAGAAGATCCTCCAATATTTCGTTGGTACGAGTGGAAGAAACGGTAACGTGTCTCTTCCTGTTTCAAGCATTCCGATAAAATTCTCGATTCGAACGGGGGTTCAAGAGGGGTTCAAGAAACGTTTAAAAAAGAAAGGGGAAAAAAGAGGGGTAGTCGTACAAAGGCGAAAAGCGCGCGTACGGAATAAGAAGACGGTTTGAAAATTCAAGGTGGACTATCTCGCGGCGCAAGATTACACTTTGAGGCCGGCTTCCCTTGTTATCTCGCGAGATAAACGTAAGAGAGGGGGCGTAGAGAAACGTATTAAACGCGCTTTCCATGCGAATACACGCGTACGTACGTTTCATATACGTATACTCGAATACGCGTCCAACCTCCTCTAAAAAGAATCAGCTCTTTTTCAGCTCGGCCTCGTCCGTGCACCGAGACGTTTTATATACGATCCTCCTACTTTTCTTTTATACCTCATTCGGCGGCTACACCATTTCTCACCCACACCTGCGTAATAAACAGCTCCCTCAAGCACTCAATAAAAATTCCACACGGTCCCGCCGGAAAAAGAAGAGATATAGTCCGACGGCTACTTTTTCTTTTTTTTTTTTCCAGTTTACCCCGTTTTCATCCCGCGATACGTGCTCGGTCTATTTAATATCGAACCTCTCCCTTCCCCCCTCTCTCTCTCTCTCTCTCTTCTCCCTCACCCTTTACTTCACCCGATACTTCAATCTTCCGTCAATATCGCAATTTCCAAACTCCAGGTATCGTTCCACGGATACGTTGGGCTCCAGAAGACGCATCTGCCTCACACTTCCCCCGAAAAATTCGAGGCGTGCACGTTCCTCCCCTTCTTCTCTCTCGCGCTCGGGAGGAACAACCGCGAAACACGAGAGAGAAACGGGGGAAGATCGAAGGGTGAAACGAGAGGAGGAGGGATTGAAATAAAGAATCGCTCGCCCCGATGGAAAAATACACTCCACCCAGAAGCACGCCGAGAAGAGTGTGCTCCCGAGAGAGACCCACCCCATCCGCTCCCATCCCCGTGATGAAACTTGCTCCTCGATTCTGAAAAATTCCTCTCCTTCCTCCTCCTTGTATCGTCTCATACTCATCTCCTCCTCGAACGCGCCGCGATAATTCTCGAACACCGTATCGTAACCAGTTTGACAAGAAGTCGTCCTCCCCTTCGTTTTCTTTCCTTCTCGCATAATAATCGTGGAAATACGAGCGCGAACGGAAGAGAGGGAGGGTGTGAACGAGCAACGTGGGGAAAACAAGGGTTTGCTCGAACTCGAGCGGAGCATGAATCTCCCCCCTGAACAGGACGCGATATGTATCCTGTGCGCGGGTCCAACCAGCCCGATGAGGGGTCGGGTGCAATTCTGGCGGGGCCGAAACAATGGGGGATGCCCGACGAAATTCAAGAAAACGTAACTCGAGCGAAGCAATTAGCGCGAAACCGCTTCCAGAGGAGATATACCTCTCTCGACGGCCTGTGAAACTTCTCCCCCTCCATTCTAATTTCTCACCTTGCCTTCGTTCTCTGTGACGCGCGAGTCGTTACGCCGTCCCTTTCTCGAATTTCCGCGTTTATATATCCGACTCGTGAGAGGAGGAGGGAGGCTATTAGTATCGAGAGGGGTGAAAAAAAGAAAAAGAAAAAAAATGGGCAAACATCTACGGATCGAGTTGATCGAGTTCGAGCGTTAAAAGCGCACACAGGCCGCGCCACGGGTCGATGCTTTCGGCTAATTGCCGGATCGACTATCGCGTAAGTGGACGATCGGGAACGAAGTGGAGGGGAGAAGAAAGCGGATACGGTGAGGAGGATGAGAAACACCGAGCATCGTTTTAATTCTCCCGACGATGCGTTTCTGTGAATAATCGTGTGTGATTTTTTTCTCGAAAATATCGATCGACGGTTGCTCGAACAAACACGATCGTGTTCGACACGTTTGGAGAGACGGAGGATCGATCGATTATTTAGTTGGGTAGTGATTAATTACCCGTTAGACGCCGTTCGATTCACTCGGATATCAGTGAGTGGAGCAAAAGAGAGGGAGATGGGAAGAAGCTGATGATTTATTATGCTTCTCCACCGTGCAAACTTTCGAGGACAATAGAGCAATATCGTGGCAGGAACAAGTGCGCTAGAGGAGGAGGAATGGTACACGTGTAAAGAACGAAGCTCGATAATTTTTTAACTTTTTCTCGAAGCCAACGAAATTCTACCATTATATTTCTCTCTCTTGGCCGCCCGACGACTCTCTAAAAGCTTATTCGTCATTCGGTGTTACGCCACCTTAACCTCGAGATCTGACTTTTCAAGGGTGAATTCCTTCGATGGGGGAGGAAAAAAGAAAGAATATTCCAGAATCTATGGACCATCTCGTCGAAAGTTTCGATACTTCGTTAGCTCGCTTCGACACCTCGTTCGCTTCTCGACACCACAAATACAACCGCGAATCGATTTTCATTTCATCGAGGCGAGCGCCAACGCTCCCCGTCTCCTTCCACGGGAGGAGGAACCACTCAAGCTCGAGCCGAGGCAAGTAGGAACACGCTGGTGGGAAACTAAACCGCGACTTAACGCGATTGAAAAGTTGGCGGTCCGTATCGAGAGAGAAACGAAATTTCACCGCTTCATCTGCCATACCATTTGCATACCAAGCTGTAACTCCTGTTAATTCGAGTTAACGAAAGAAAAAGGAAGGGGAGAGTGTCCTCGAAAAACGAGAAGCGGCCGTCGATGAAGAGAATTTGTCGGAGGAATCGATCCCCTGCGGACGATTCCCTGGGAAAATTCGAATCGGGCGGATCGTTCGCCCGACACAAGTTGGAGAACACTCGCGACTTGCGTCCGACCGACAAGTTTTCGAAAGCGTTCCGCGGAATGACCAGCCGCCCTTTTGAGGCCAGCTGCCGGCTTGTTTCTGAAAGTTGGAGGGGGGAGGTCTAAATAGGCGGCCGGGCATCGACAGTTTCGCAACTCGAGTCGTGCTGGTGGACGATAACGGCGGCGACGAACACAAGTACGAGGAGGCGAAGTTTGACCGGGTGGAAAGAACAGGACAACTCTCTCCGTGTCCCTCTCCGCCGACTTTGCCACTACGATCCAAACTACACCGATCTTCGCCCAGTTTCGTCGAATATAAAAACCCGACGAGGCGACCCAACTTTTTCCCCTCCCCTCTCCTTGCCTTGTACATATATAGATCCCTCGGATGATCCGTTAACGAAACTGATCCGGTGGAAAACTTTTAAACGAACGAATTCGCCATTTCTTGACGCTCGAGAGAGATTTTAGATACCCTTTCTTTACTGTTGGGAGGAATCGAATTTTCCGCCACATGGACGAAACGAAAAAAATGAGAAAGAGTGGATAGATGGAATAGATAGAACGTGGACAGCGAGTATTCCTCACCGGAGGAAGGAAGATCGGGTAGAAGAATAAAGCTTATTCGTCATTCTGTCGGACTACGGACGGTGTTACGCCACCCGAGATCTGACTTTTTAAGGGTGAATTCCTTCGATGGGGAAAAAAGAAAGAATACAACCGCCATCCGACTTATGCCCCGTAAGAAATGAATCACCGAACGAAGTCGAAATCTTCGTCCAACTTTCCCCACGGGTGAAACTCGGGGATCATTCTTCATTTTTAAACGTCTTTTTATGCAACCTCTCCTCCTCTACGACGCGTACACACGAGGGATGTACGTCTCTCGTGAAGAAGAGTAAAAGCCGTGGTCGTCGAATTTCGAAACGATAACGGAGGATCGAATTAAAACGGTAACAAACAACCGGCTCGCTGATAAATCAGTGGGTAAAATAGCGGAGGAGGGAAAGGCAAGCAAGAACAGAGGGCTTACGAGATTGAACGGCTTTTACGAAGCCGTCGCTTTCTCGGTGAATATCATTCTCTCTCGAGCGTCACTTGCACGTGTTCCTCTCTGCATTATCCATGCCATGCGAGACGCTTAAACGTTTCCGCCCCACTTCTTTTTCCCCCCACTTTTCCCCGACCGATCCTTTTTAATAGAATCCCTTCAACCGGAAAATTGTTTATTTCAAAAACTTCCCCTCGCGTGATTAAGAAAATTCGTACGTCTCTCGCCATCCATCCCTCCCCCATCTCCTATCGCGTTCTTTCGCTTCTTCTTTACGGGGCATGGATGAACGCCACGACTCTCGTGTTTCATCTTCCATGATGGAGCGCGCTTTCTCGTTGCTTTTAGCGAGCGGATGCAACGTCGCTGCAGAATGCTTTTCCGTCGAACCTTGTCGCTGAAATCTCTCTCTCTCTCTCTCTCTCTCTCTCGGTGACTAACACCCGAAGAAAATCGAGATTGTCTCGTCTCACGGCTGAGAAAACGAACCCACGCGCGCGATAAGGCTCGAACTTAGAGGAGAGAAGGACGTAAGAAGTAATCCGGAAGAGCGAAGTTCATCGGGTTGTTACTTTAACGAAGCATTCTTCGCGAGGATCCCGGGCAAAGGTGGCGGCGCGACGAGACAATTCCCTCGTCCCCGATCATATTCGTTGCACAACTTCGCTAATTTCGCGATAACGGCCGTTAACGCGATAAATGCCGCCTCGAATCTCGTCTCGTCGAGGACGAACGCTGACACGATTTCGTCGAACCTGATGAGGCGAATCGAAGAGAGAAGAAGAAGAAGAAGAAGAAGGAACGAGACGATCCACGATCGCGCTGATTTAACGAAGCCGTCCTCCGTTCAATGAACGCGGCGCTTCGAAAAGAAGAAGGGAAAGAACATTCTCGGAACGATAACACTGTTTCCGATCGGTCCTCCTCTCCAATGCCTCTCGCGATTCTTTGGGATCGTTTCATCGATCGCGTGTATTCTCCCTTCGCGTTTTATCCAAGGATGAACAAGAATGAACAGTTCCGTTTGGCGGGTGAAAAGGAGGAAGGGAAAAATGAAAACAGTCGGTTTCGTTGTTTTTCGTTTCGAAAGGGAGAGACGAGTGAAATCGAATTTTCTATTGGTAACCCTATCTCGAAAATCTGACGTCGAAAATATGAAGAGCGATATTCCCCCTCCCTTCTCGATAGAACTTATTGGAAATCTCTTATCCGCGAGAGAAAATACGGTTCCTCGAAACCGGATTCCCGCGCAACTTTTTGCGTTGTCACGAAGAGGGGAGGGGCTATTAGATCGCGAATTCGCGAAAGCTTGCGGAACGAATGGCGGTAACCGAGGATGGAATACGAGGAAAAGGTAAAGATCGATCTCTAGTGAAACTCGGCTGGTATCCAACCTATGAATCGCGCGTTACGTGTCCCAGGGATTGGAAATTCCTCGGAAACAAAGCGTCTAAGGAACCCGCCCCTCGTGAATTTCAATCCGGTCGAAACCGGGTGTCGCAATAACTGTCACGAATCACACACGTGAGCACGTTACGAAAGCGGCGGAGGAGAGAGAGAGAGAGAGAGAGAGAGAGAGAGAGAGAGGATTTTTATCCCGCCGATCGCCGAGCGTTCCAAGACGATGGAGATTCAATCCTCTCGGCTTGATCCCTTTGTATCGAGGATAAAGAAGAAAAAAATGCGAATTATCCCTTAATACCGGCCCCTCAATAACGATCTTCCTACTAACTAACCGGCTCTCGCGTCGACCGGTTTAAACCCCTCCGTTAATCCGGGCTTTTCGATTCTCAGAGAAGAAGTAAATCCGCGAAATGGCCCGATCGATTTTAATGCGGACGAATATCTTTGAAACTGCTTAAGAGCGAAACTGCTATCGCTCCGAGTATCGTTGTCGCGGCGGTAGGGGGAGGGAAAGAGGGGAGGAAATGCCGCGATGCTCGAAAACTTGGCCCAATTATCCCTCCTCGGAACTGGACGTTTCCAGAGTATCGTGTTGGAGATGAATCGACTCGGGATGATGGTGGATTTGTCGCACGTATCCGTGCCCACTATGCTGGTCGCCATGAAGACGTCGAGGGCGCCTGTCATTTTCAGCCACAGCAGCGCTCACGCCCTCTGCAATTCCTCGCGAAATGTGCCTGACCATGCGCTGCGACGTTTGGTGAGTTACGATCCTCTAAAGGATTAATCCTTTTAGATTTAGAAGAAACTTTATCCTTTCCTCCTTTCTCTTTTCCGTTTCAGGCGCAGACAGATGGTATAGTTATGGTATCCTTCTATCCCCATTTTATCAGCTGTGGCGAAAAATCGACGTTGGAGGACGTAGCCGGTAAGCAATCTTTTCCAACCAGTTCCAGTTCAACAATATAAACGATAAAAATTTCGTTAATGTAATCGTCACGTATGAAATGCTACCCTCGAAATTTCTCCTCTCGTGTATCGCTTTTATCCGCTCCGATAAACTTCCTCGATTCTTTTCTCTAATCAAGTTCGCCCTATTTCGGCTTTTATTCCACGTAACCCACGACGTCGCGATCGCCGTCTCGTATTCCAGGATAAAAGTTAATCGAAAGGGAGTCGCGTCGAAATTGTTCCTTTTCTTTTTTTTCCCCCCCTCCCTTCTTTTTCTCTCCTAGCGTTAATACGATTTCCTTCTGATAAGCCTGCCTCTTTTGCAATATCACCGTCTGGAGATCACTGAAAATCTCTCGCCGATAATTTTCATTATATCCGATTCGTTCTCATCGCGAATCTTATCGCCATTCGAAGAATCGTGTTTCGATGAACAACGATGAAATGAACAGTCACGCATAAATAGGAGCACGAGAATAACTCGAAATTTCGCGCTATTTCTCTTCCGCAATCGAGATATCGAATTCACAGACGGAAAAGTAAAAGTTCGAGCAATGATAAATTTCATAATAATCGATTCCGCTCGAAATCAAATTTTTCCAAGAGCAAAAGTTTCCGAGCAGCTAAACGTACCCTTTTTCGTCGCAGCAAGAGTGGATTTTTGCGAAAAATACACGTTAAATGAGTTTAAAAGGGGCCAGTTTTTCGAATTTGTGTAAGGGCAAAGGGAAAGATGGAATTTCGCGCGCGGATAGCTACGCGGATCGAGAACGAGAAACAGTGCACACGTATCGCGACGTATTTTGGATCAAAGCAGGCGCGAACGGGCCACGCTTTGAATAAACTTTCCACGCGTAGAAATGAAATATATCCGGGCAAGAGCGAATTTATGCGGTTCCATGGCTGAGAAGAAAAAGAAAAGTGAAGAAGAAATAAAAAAAAAAAATAAATAAAAATGTTCATCGAACGTTCGGCGACGAATGTGCCGAGTGGGGCAATTGCACTTTCATATCTTTGCGAACCCTTTGTGATTCACGAGACGTAAGAAACTTTAGAAACTTTCAACGTTGAACGGTAGGAAACTTAGGCGTTTCCTTCGTACACTCTCTCTGTCTTCCCGCTCCGCGATACAGTTTTCCACGTCGCTCGTCGCATTTCCATTGCAATTGGGTGCCGTGTCGATGGCGAAGCGGGCATTCCACCCGTCTTTAAGCGACGCCGAAATTTTCGCCATTCTCTTCCGCAATTATTATCATCGCTCTCCGCTTATCTATCTTTATCACGTTAAATGGATCCGCGGCAGTTGTTCCACCGAGCCTATTGTTCCTCCACCTTTCCGACGTTTGATAAAAATTGCACGCGCGTCGTTGTGCGAGCGTAGTTCCATAGTTCCACAGCACGCTGACGATCGTATTCCTCGCTATGGAAAATATGAAATCGAGGATTCGAGGAGTACCACGCGGCGCTGTGTTTAGCCTTCACACTTCGCGTGACCGCATCGCGGTGTTGGGGATATCAAAACCTCAAAAGAATATCGCGGAGAAGGAAAGAGAGAGAGAGAGAGAGAGAGAGAGAGAGAGAGAGAGAGAGAGAGAGAGAGAGAAAGCTTAAAACAAAATAACGTCGCGACGAGTTTTCCCTTTCCCCCTTCTCTCCCAGGAACCACGAATTTCATTCGCTCGTGGATTATTTTTTTTTTTTTTTCATATTTCTTTCATTGACTCATCAGTTTCGCGAGGGGACAAAATAAAAGCAAGATGGGAAATAAAGATGGAGTAAAAAGTGGGGGACAAAAGATGGAAGAGCTTCGTTCCAAATCATTTATTTTCTTGTATACATTTTCCTTGCTCTTTTGATATTCGATTCTTTAAGAGAAAATGGGGAACGAAAGAAAACGGCGGACGAGAATCGAGTTTTATTATTGACACATTTTCTCAATAAATTAAATCTTTGCTTATGAAAGAGTTCACCTAATCACGAAAATACGTGTTAACGCGAATATCAAAGATTCTTCTCTTAACGTTAATTGAACAATAATAAATCGTTGGATAAAAACAATAGAAAACATTGTAATTACGATGGATTTTAAACGGCGATAACGGAAGGATTAGAGTCGTGAATCGTTGGCAAAAACGAGTGGAACGGCAACGATGACGGACGATAAAGCGTGACGACAACGATCCACTTCCGCGCGTTATGGGAAGCAAGGAGAAAATTATGCTCCCGTAGAGGAAGCGGCGCGTTAAACGTACTCGTAAGCCATAATTCGGGGCGGTTGCACACGGGCCCATTGACGACATTTACCCTCATGATTGATTTCTCGTTGGCCGGTGCTCATAGCACGTCGGTTACCAACGCAACAATTACCACCACTTAATATCAAACGCGGCAGCGATCGGCCACGCGTTTCTCGAATAATGCGCCGCGCGTCAAGCGCATCCTCCGCATCTGCTCCCCGTGCAACTGACGTTTGCACTTAAGGTACAAGGAAGACGGGTCATCGAGCCCATCTTGCCGAATGTATCCAGGGGAATCTGGTCATTTCGGGCCGAGTTCGATGCGTATGAGATCTATTTTGCAATGGAACAGAGATTGATCGAGCAGGGATTGAAAATATCGAAGAGTTAGTTTGTGATGACAATACGTGAGATTGGTTCTATAAACGTCGGATACGTTGCAATATCGGGTTTAGAAAAAATTTTTTCTTCTCTTCATCGCTCGATTAATCGATAATTTGAAACTTTTGCTATATTGTATCGCAAGTTCGTTAATGTTTCTTTCTACGTTTTCATATGTTCCAGCTCACATAGATCACGTGCGAAAGATCGCTGGTGTGGATCACGTCGGGATAGGGGCCGGCTACGATGGGATCAATCTGTAAGTTTCTCCTTCTTATTTATTATGTATAGGCGACTCTCAATACTCAAATTTCAACGAAAAAATAACTATTAAAATATTATTGAAACGAAGATGTAGATAAATCGAGTGAAAAAAACGGAGATAAACTTTCAACGAACGCACGATAAATTAGAGGTTGGAAAGGAACGAAACGTGATAATTTCTTACGAGCCTCTCTACCTTCTTCTCCTCCTCCATCTACACCGGTCACGATTTATGAGGTTTGACGCGTAGCGCTACCATAAAGCACGTGCCGTTTTTTTTTTTTACGTTTGCTCGAAGCGTTGACCAGCGCCTCGTAAAAAAGTAACACGACGGAAGTAAACCCTACGAGCCGTTTCGCCTCGTGTCACTTTTTAACTGCAACCCGTGTCTTCCCCTTCGAAATGTACGTTTCCTTCGAAATAGTTTCAACACAGTTCCCGACTCTTGTTGCTTGTAAAGGCGAGCCGATCTGCAAAGGAGTGGGGGAGAAAAATATCGAGGATAAATATCGAGAACGATATGGATATTCGATAAATCGGTGAAACGGTTTAAAGATATAGGATCCTTCAACCGTCGTCTTCGTCCTCGAGTAATTTATTTACCCTCGGTTTTAACTCGCGACGATGCTTAACTGCAAGAGAGGCGGCGCGCGACTATAGGATTATTCCAGACGAACTAAAAGTATTATTCGCCGGGTTTTATCATCGTCTCGTTTTATATCCACGTAGAAAGGGAGAAAGAGAGAGAGAGAGCGTGTATATTTAACATAGTTTCATCGTCAGAGAAACAAAGGCGCGAAAGGATCGGATGGAAACGGGCGGCTATCGGCCGACCCGGTTCGCGACCACTGTAACGTATTATATACCTGGTCGAAGCTGGAATAGGAAGTGTTCGCCGGTTAAACTGGGGGAAAAAAATGAGAGGAAGAAAGGGAAAAAAGGGAGAGAGAGAGAGAGAGAGAGAGGGAGGGAGGGAGGAGGATGTACGAAGCACGATAAAGGGGATGGGGAAAAAAGAGCGCGAACTAGGTAGGTGGTAAAAAGTTGTCGGGTTTTGCAAATCCGTGCGAAAAACACGCGTGGAATCGCGCAGCTGGTGGGGACTGAAAAACAACGTGAACCGAGCGAGCAATTTGCGCATCGAACTGTAAAAAAAAAAAAGAAAGAAGGAAAGAAAGAAAAAAGAAAGGAAAAAGATGGGGTATCTGAAAAGAAAAAAGGCGGGATATCGTCGTGTTGCCGATCGAATCGGGCAAATGCGACGTTTTCATTGGAAAAATTAAGCGAGCATGCTCGAGTCGACTGCAGGAAACCGGGGGCGGACTTGTTAATTGGACGACGAAATTTCTTTTTTTTTTTTTTTTTTTTTTTTTTTTTTTTTTTTTTTTTTATTTACTCGTGCATTTGAGTTTAAAGTGAAAGGCTAATAATAGATGAGACGAAAAACGATGAGACACGCGAAAAAATAATTATGATAAAATTGAAAAAGTGTATCGAGCTACCAATTAAGATTTAATTAAACAAATTCCCGTTGATTCGAACAGCATTTATCCTCCGCAAAGCTTTTGACTGGCCATCCGTGAAACCGAATTCGAGTATACGCTCTAGTTGTCTAGAAAACGAAAAGGTATATATAGAAGATGACACTTTTAATGGCGCCATGCCAACGAGATATGAAAAGGGGATTTCCCATCGGGACGAAAACAAAGCCAGATTTTTTCCTTTTGACGCGAACCGGTCCTTAATACCACGGGCGCGATAATTTTAAATTAAAAAAGTTCATTGGAATATAAGAGAAATTCTCGAGAAATTCTTACCTTAGAATTATTCTTCTCTACGAAGGGGAGAAGTTAAGAAGGGAATAAATTTAAAAAATTTACGCGAAAGAAAGAATCCGATTGAAATTTAAATGTCGTTTAACAAATATATACAAAATAAGAAGTGGATTACGATAATTTGTTCTCTCCGCGCTTTCCCTTTATCTCGATCTGTTTCAAAAAGAAGAAGAAGAAGAAGAAGAAGAAGAAGGAGAGAAAATGTTATTATCAACCGTAGCGTTGATAACGTGTGTATTGAATAACAACGAACTGTAGAAGTTTAACGTAGTAACTATTATATTATTTTCGATTGGTTGATGGATAAAATTGGAATAAATATCGAAAGGAACCGTTTTATTTCATACGTTCAATACCCTTTTTAACGATTACGGGAACTCGAATAAGTGCAATCGATTAATCGTGAAGAGACTTTTACCAAGAGTTTCATCGAGATCCAGTTTGAAAAGAGATAAAAATGGGAATTAACAGGGCACACTCCGGTATAAATGTAATTTTTTGATAAATACGTTTTTAAAAAATGCCTCGCTTACTCCGAAATATGAATAATTCATTTTTGAATCGAATAATCGCCGTTCAAAAGGGACCATCGTATAAATCAAAAAAATGCGTAATATGTATTTATTTATTCATTTCAACAAGAAAAAACAATATAAATCCTACAATATATATAAAGGTAAAAATAAAATTTATAAAACTCCGTTGTATTAAATTTAATGAATAAATTTTTAAAATATGTTAAAATTCGTATCGCTATTATTATTATTATTGTTGTTGCTGTTATTATTATTGTTATTATTATTATTATTATTATTATTGCATTCAAATAGAATTTCATAAGCTTTTATTATAATTTTCAATATTAAACGTGTGTACGCTCAATGATATTTATTAGCTTCACGGTAATATGATTAAAAAGTAATTACAGTAGTAGACGTTATCGCACGAATATATAATTTTCACTTCATATTTATCTATTTAGAGACCAATATGGAAATATTACGCGAAACGAAATAAATATTCCATTCCGAGTTTTTTCCAAGTATTTACGTCTTGAATAACAGCCTATTTCTCGTTCCATATATGTCTAATATTTTCGTGGAAATTTTGTATCGCGGCATTTTTATATTTTGGCCCGATTTTCAACTTGTTATAAATCACTGTCGCGTAGCTGGAACGGATAGCTACTTTTCTCGATCCCGTGTCGATATCAGAAAGAGTATAAGCGGATCAGTGAGAAGGAAAAAATCGTGAAAACGCACAAATGCAAAAGTTTCACGTAGACCAAGAATAAAAAAAGAACCATTAAAATTTTTTCCAAATGTCGAGTAACGAATATATACACCATGGATCGATCATCTCGAATCAATCCGTTACTTCGATTGATGCAGACGTAACACGAGTTCGCACGAGTGATTCCATGCCGTGAACGAACGAATTAATCGAAAACATTCTTAGATCGTCATCCTTCTCGTTTTTCCTTTTCCTTCCTCGAATTCCGCTCTTCGAAGATGAATCGTTATTCGTTTCTAAAACGTTTTTAATGCTCGATCTTTGTTCATCGACGATAAAAGTTAGGTCAACACCGAACACATCGAACGAGTTGGTAGAGTTTCACTAAGATAAGATAGAGAGAGATTGTCGAGTAACGTGAAATATGTACATTTTGAAAACACGTTTCGAAAACGTTAATATTTTTCTTTTTTGAATTATTCATCGTTTCTAAGCATACGCGAAAAACTTGTCCCTCCTCTTTATCGTTATGGAGAGAAATGAACAATATTTTAATTTTTACCTCGCAACGTTGAAAAGAAAGGCTATCCTAGTAGAATGTTGGAGAGGAGGATAAACAGTAAAACAATGGCGTATAGTATAATCGCGTTAAGTTGGATAATTACCATCAATTATCCTGTTTCCAATAATCCTAGAGTTTGCGCAATTAGCCTCGATATCGAGAAAAGAGAACGAAGAAAAACGAGGAGAGGAGAGGAACGATCTGTACCGAAGTAGTATTTTTCTTCTTCCGTTCGTTTTCGCGAAGTATCGATCTCTTCAACGTTTCTTCCATTACACCGATGCTTTCCCTTCCCCTTTTCCCCCTTTCCTCCCTCTTCCCTTCCCCTTCCCCCCCACTTTTCCCTTTCCGCTTTTCATTCTCGCCTATAAATCACTGTCAGATCGACTGGACGAAATGTATCTTCCGCTATACGAATAGGATTTTTGGTCCCGACGTCAGCCGAGTCGTCGATAGCGCGAGTTTCGAAGAATGGAGAAAGATGGCTGTGATGCAGTTCTGATGTCCACGCGAAATGTATACAGCTTTGTTTCCCCTCTCCCGTTATATTTTTGTCACACTCCCGTGACATTCTCGTCCCCTCTCGTCCCAGAAATCGTGCCAGAAATTCGGCACGGAGCCATGGATCCTTCCCCGCGGAATTGGAGATTTCGTGAAACTGGCCACCGGTTGGTTCGTCCGACAAAGCTCGAAAAGCGATTCGCTCCGATAAATCTTCGCGGCTCGATTTACCGATCGCGATATTTTATCGCGCCCTTTCATCTCCCTCCCTTTCGTCCATTTTCGTGGTCTTTCCCATTCCCGGGATCGCCAGCAGCGAATACGTAATTGCGTTATTCGTCCTTTACGGCGACGAGAGAGAGAGAAAGAGAGAGAGAGAGAGAGAGAGAGGAGGGAGAAAGGAAGGAAAAGAAAATAAGATAGAAAGAGGCAAAATGATAATGTTCCCTCCGTCGGTGAAAAATTTCATATCGTAATCGAGCACCGGTTTCTCCTCGACCGACGGCTAATATCGATAATACGAGGGGGGAGAGGAGGCGATATCGATAACGGGTTCCGATATACGGGGAAACGGGGGAAACTGATATATCCCGGGTAGCGATCGTGGCCATATCCATAGGACGAGCACCAGCGTTCATAGTCGCCGTCCCGTAATGACGGACACACTCGATTTGGAAATTTCCGAGATTGAAACAACGCTCGTGACCGCAGACGGCCGATGTCCGTACACGGTATACAGCTGCATAACTGCCAGTTTCAGCCGCGATATGACGCGCCATGAATAAGTCTGGAACCGCTCTTGTTGGGCCGACATTGTCAGCAGGTAGCTTTCAACGGTTGTGCAACGCTCGTTCCCGCTCCTTCTCTCCGCCGAGCTCGTTATGACGCGCGTAATGAGAACGTCGAAATTCAGACTGATCCCTTTTAACGCTCTACTCGCCGCCCCACGTTTCCTCTAATTCGCCGTGAATATCTGTGCGTCGGTGCCGCGTCCGCGACGCGCTCCCATCGACCGTATCGGAATTAGTTAGCCCGGCTTCCGCCACGTCCCCATGCCATTTCGAATCGGGCATCAATTATTATTTATTTTCGGCCGACAGCCGAAATAGCGCCACCGCGGGGCCATAATGAACAGAGACATCGAGCGCTGCGGGGGGAAGGGGGGGGGATAGCGTTCGATCGTAACGAGGCCATCGACGCTCGATGAAAGAACCGTCCAAGATGTAACACCGTCCTAATTCCGCTACCCCGCCGACCCAGATACCGCGTTTAATAATTGCTAAATTAACGGTGACGAGTCGTAAACGAAACCTTCGAGCTACAAAGATTACAAAGATTAAACGTCGATAAATAAACGCAACGTGTAAAATTGACTAAAGAACGAAGGATAAATTTCTTTTCGGTCGAATCGAAAAGAGTAAGATGGAAAAAATTGGGCGTGTAATCGAGGATATGGACGGTGTTTCATTGCTGATTAAAAAGGAAAAGTTCGATTGGAAGATGGATCGGGGGAAAGTACTTCACCGCTATCTTAATTTATACGCGATAATAATGGGAAATAATGGGGATACGTGTAATCGTGAATTTTTATTATCCGGTTGGATCCCTCCCTCGACCGAGAGTCGTTATGAAACGAGTCGATGACGAGCTCGACCTCGTGGCACATTTTCGCGTTCGGATCGTCCGCGAGACGGTCGTGCACCTGAACAGCGCGATCGTCCTCTCGCGTTTCTCGCTCTCCGCCTCCTCGTCCTGCGAGTCATCTCTCTTTTGCAGTAATTAAAGTAATGAGGAATAAACCGCCCTGAGGAGAATTGTAATTTGGAGGGAGAGGAAGCTAGCTCCCCCTCCTCCTCCTCCTCCTCCTCCTCCTCCTCCTCCCGACAACCTCGTTACCGTACTTCGGATTTCCGTCGCAACAGCTTTGTTTCGAATCGAAAACTGGAACGAATATAGAACGTTCCGAATCTCTTCGCTTTTCTTTCCTCCCCTTCTTTCCCTCCCCCCTTTTTTCTTAATTTTGTAAACGCTCAGAAGGGGAATGCCGTGTAATTGAATTCGAGCGAAAAACAGAGCAGGGTGGAAGCGAGTAACGCGTTAAGCCAAAGGAAGCCAACCAGTGTATACGAGCGCGTTAGGCAAAAATCGCACAAAGGCGAACTTCGTTAATTCTTTCACGAGTAAATTTTTGTAACCCCCGACGTAAAGGGGGTCCGACTTCCTTTCTCCGTTCTTCTTGACGCGTTATGAACGAAAAAAAAAAAAAAGCTACCGCGCTTTCGCGCGTTAAACAAGGAAGAAACGCGAAAGGGATTATTCGTCCACCAGCCAGCGTAATAGATTAAACTTCCTTCCTAAGAATTACGGGGCGGTAAAATTACTGTAGTAATAGGGAGCACGTGAAGTATGACGACCTCTTATAAAAGTTTCGAGTAGTTTTCTAATTTAAACTCTCTCGGCCGCTTCCCTCCGGTTCATTAAAACCCTTATTTTATCGCGCGGAAATATTTATGTAAATAGCGATCCATCTTGCACCGACTTGCACCTCCGTCAACGGAGGGGGAACAGAGGAGGAGAGGATAAAGAAAAAAAGAAAAGAAAAAAAGAGAGAGAGAAGCTTGATCGAACCTTGGTCGATTGGCACAGCGAACCGTGAAAAGGACGACCTCGAATTCCTCGATCGAGGAATGTTATTCGTTTAATTAAAAAAAAAGAAAAAGAAAGAAAGAAAGAAAAAAAACGATCGATCGAACGTGTTAATAATCGAGGAGAATTTCCACGAGATTATACATCGTTCATTCCCTTGTTTCAGAACACCGACGGGCTTGGAGGACGTTAGCAAGTATCCGGAGCTTTTCGCGGAGCTGTTGGCGCGTGGATGGTCGGAGAGAGACATTCAGAAACTGGCAGGCTTGAATCTGATCCGAGTGTTCAAGGCGGTGGAGAAGGTGAACTTTTTTCTCTCAAGAATCGGAAAAAAAAAAAAAAAGAAAGAAAATAAACGCTTCCTTCCGTTTCTCGTCGCGCGAAAAAAAAATGAGAAACTCGGCAGAAACGGGCCCTCGATCCTCTCTAGCGCGAAATAACCGATGGTCGGAAACCGGGTTAGCCGAGTCGACCAATATCGGATTTAATAAAGCGCACAAATCATGCATCCGCCTGTGCATCGTCGAGAGAGACGGATGGACCCGGCCGCGATTTTTGTTCTTTTGGAGTCCTGCCAATCCACAGAACCAGCTGCCCCCAAAACCTTCCTCTTTCCATGATTTGCGCCGATCCACCTGATGTGCGAGTAGGCGTTCGTTGCGGGAATTGTACGCTCTCTTTCCTCCTCTTTTTCGTGCCATCCTGTCACGCGTTAACGTTTATCCTCGTTTCGCGGATAAGGGAAAAGTAACGAGGGACACCGATAGAGCAGAAAGAAATTTCGAGATATCTTGAAAATTTTACGAATCTTTTATATACGACGTGGTGTAACGATCATTTCAAAGGTAATGGACGTAAAGTTTGATGAATTTCTTTTTTATACATCTTAAAAAAATATTTACGTCTTAAAAATATTTCGAGATATTTATCGTTTTCTCCGCGAATAAAAAATCCTTGGGAAATTTTACTGGAACAGCTAGACAGATTTTCTTGTTAGCAACGGATATCGCGACATTAATTTACCGAGTTCAGAAGGTGGAGAAACGAGTCGCGTACAGTTTACCTGCATCTGACAAGCGAACGAATAGAAAAATTTGCATCTCTCCCGTCCCGACGTTTCGTATAAACTCGCCACGGTTTTTAAAAAGGTATTAATAATTTCACTTTTCGAGTACACATTTTTTTACTTATTCCGCCTCCTCCTTTCTTGTCCTTTTTTACTTCCTTGCCTCTCTCTCTCCTCTAGCCCGTTTCACGGACAAGTTAAAAATCTCTGAACTCTTAACCGAGAGAACAGTGTGTATCCGAATGATATAGCGGGATATTAGTCGAATTACAGGACAGGTTGTAATGGGGGAAATTACGCGTATAAATAGTGTCGGTTATTTGATGATCCTCGACACGGCCGTCGCTGAAATTACAACGATAATTTAATCGCGATCTCCCTCCTCCCTGCCCTCGAGCGCAACGTAACAGTAACACCAAAGCGGATTTCGTTAATACGCAAAAGTAACGTGAAACGTGCTCATCGCCGAACGTTGAAAACCGGGCTTTCATCCTCGAACGAAACGAAACGAAGCGAAACGGAACGAAACGGAACGGAATAGAACGGAACGGAACGAAACGAAACGAAACGAATCGCTCGTTTTTCGGCCAAATTCGCAAATACGAAAAAGACGAGAGAGTTTTCATTGATCCAATTAAAAGTAACAAAAATTCACGCTGGACCGTGAAGGAAAAGCAAATTATTCGCGCGACGAAACGCACAGTTTCCACGAGAAGTATCCACGAGATTCGTGAGAACATCGATTCCCTACGAATATATCCTAACCTATTCGAGGTAACGTTAATTCATCATCAGACGAAACGCAAGTTTCGAGTAAGCGTTCGTTCGAACCGCGTTGTGTTGCGAAACACAGATTCGAACGTTTTTCATTTTCCTCGCTAGAGAATGAAATCCTCTAGTTTTCCGTCTCGTTACCGGAAACGTGGTAATTGTTAAAACAATAGACAGGTCTACCGCACAATGAAACTCGCTACCAGTGGAATTGAATTTCCACGTGAATTTCCTTCCTGAACGGATGAAATTCAGTTGCTGCGTTATTCCCTCGTTTCGAGGAAAAAGGAAAAGGATTAACCAAAAACGTAAAGATATGATACGTAAAAAAAAAAGAGAAGGAGACTCGTTATTGTCTCCCGTTAATCGAGTCTCGAGAACCGAGATCGTGTGAGACGACACAATTGTTCCTGAAAAGAAACGAGAGAACTTTCACGACATTACTCTAGGATAAGATCTAACAATTAAGGAGTTTGGTACACACATTCGTGCCGACGAATTCTAAGGTAACGGGATCAAACGGTGGACAGGTTAAGTACGGTTGGATAATTACGAGACAACCTTCTCCTATCTCAACGTAATACATTTTCGCGTATAACCGTAGTTGGAAACGTGTCTCTCCTCTAAATGGTTGAAACGATCTAACGTTAAAAATATATATACGTGGTTTCGTGCGCTATCTCGCGCACCGGTTACGATCTCGAGATGACCGGTTCAGCAATACGAGGTTATATATAAAATTACTACTAAATTTCATTGCTAAATGTCATCTTCGAATTCATAATTTTTAACAATTTTGGAAATGGTTTATCGTCGCATTACGTCGTTAATCGAAAGAGTGACTGCAATAATTTTAACTTTACTCTTTGTGTTTCGTCAAATTGGCTTTCCGGAAGGTGAGCGCAATGAAATAATAATTTCGCCAAACAGTCGGCGAATATTATTCAGACTCCGTATGTGCAATAAAAAAGGTTGTTACGAGTTGGAAATAGGGAAGAAGAAAGGGAAGCAGAGCAGGTTTGATTAAAAACATTAAGGATTTATGAAGGGCGCGAGTTCGACGAGAACCGGTTCTTATTCGGTACCGACCAATCATCTCGCGACGCCCATTAACATTTTAATTTCCCCGACGATTCCCCCGACGGAATGCTCTGCGGCGGCAACCGCGCCCATTCGGTAGAGAGGGGGAACTTAATTCAAAGATAAAACGTACGCGGTATCACGAAAGAAACGAGCGTATATTAGAGTAGCAAAGAGACGTTCGTAATGTGATGGACGCTTTATCGCGGTAGATACGAGGTAGCTGCAAGGTCGACGATAAAACTGGATTTAATTTAGGAAGAATATTGAAATCGTTGGCACGCATCGAAACTTCGTTTTCTTCTCGAATTTCTGACTTTTCCTTCTTATTGAATATTCGTAACAAAACTTTTTCGTTCTCTCGTTTGAAATTTAATCGATGTCCGATACAAATTGCTGAACGTCATCTTCAAACATATTTTTGAACAATTTTGGAAATGGTTTATCCTTTATGTCGTTAACAATTTTAAATTTTAAACTCGTGTACAACACTTTATGCTTCGTCAAATTGGCATTCTGGAAGGCGAGCGAGAATTTAACAATACAAAGGGATACGAATACAAAAACTCAAAACGGATCGGATAAATAATATCTCTATGTTTTACGGGGGCGCAACCGCTTGTAATATCTTTATTTTTCCATCCTCCGTAGATGTCCGCTAGGTGGACAAAACCGGTTAAAGGATCGTATCTCGTTGATCCAGAAAACGGAAACACCCTGATCCCGATGAAAAGCTGGGAGGCTCCCCATTCGAAGCCAGTCGTTGCCGTTAAACCATTAAAGGACAAAAACACGGGGAGGGGGAGGGCAGAATGGAGGAAAATAAAGGAGGAAAAAGTGGAGGAGGGGAGGGAGGGTGTAGAAAAAAAGTTGTGAACATCGGTTACGCGTTCGCCAAGCGGCACCGCCACCGAAAGCCTCGGCCGGACTGTAATGGCCGTGGAAGGTTAATGGGCTTACCGAAAATTGATGGTGGGTGTACAGTAGTCGCATGAAATACGCGCACCGCCAACTTTTTCCCTCGACACAACCTCGCCTCTCGCCGTACACCTTTGCCCCCTCCCCTTTTTCTCCCCGACCGACGATCGCCCACCGTGATTTTTCCTCCGAGAGGCATTCGCCACGCCGTGTGCACCCCATCTCCTTCCTTCTCCCTTCCTCTCCCCCCTCCCTCCCCCCTCGAAACGAAATCGCTCGCGAACCCAGCATCACGTGAAAAATATCGATTGACCCGATTACATCGTTTATCCCGGGATTATCATGAGTTCGCGCGAAAATATTTCCATTTACTCGAGGGAAGAAAATTTTTTCCTCCCCCGTTTCCTGCCTGAAAAAATCGCCTGCACCTTCCTCGTCCCCGTCCTCGTCCCGTTCGATTCATTCATTAACGAATCGAGAGGAGAAACGAGCAGTTTCTGTTCCCAGGTTCGAGACGACATGGCCGCGGATGGGGTGGAACCTTTGGAGGAGGAGATCCCGCACGAGGATATAATCGGTCGAGATTACTGCCGTTACAACGTGAAACGACCGATCGCCCCATAATCGTGGTTGAGAATCGACTGGGAGAAATAATGGGGAACGGTTGAAGAATACGGAAGGGAGGCATTTCGAATAAGGAGATCGCAGTTGCGAGAACGAAACTCGCTTCGAAGGCAAGATTCCAGAGGCCTCGTAATTCTTTGCATCCGAATCGAGCTGCTCGAGTTTCCTTTCTTTCGATCCTTTTCCCGCTGTTATCCGCGATTCTCGGCCGCGTAAGTGCGTAGAGCAGATGGGCAAACTCGATCTTCTCCCTTTTCGAACATTGCCGTGTCGCGAACGATCTCGCGGAAAAATGTGGGGGAGAGTCGATGAAAGGGTGAAAGAGCTCGATTCGCGAGATTTCATTCATCCCTTCCGGAAGGAGAGAAGGATGGATCGTTGCGAGATACACGATGCACGGAGAGAGGAACGTTGGAGGAACTTTCGAAGACCAAAGGCCGGCGTTCGGCCGTCGAACGCTTAAGAATTTAAGCTGCCATAATCGATGTGTTTAATATTTGCACTCAACGATTTTCTTTCGTCGATGCTGGAACCAAGAATCGCGCGTTCTAGTCAATATGATAAATTACATTATGTATAAATATGTACACATAACGATCGATTTCGCGAACGACTGACACCGATCGTGAGAAATCACTCACGAGCGGTGACTATTATTCGATTCGAGTGGACGACTGCTTCGATGTGTGCCCTGACCGTGTATGCGTGCGTGTGCGTGTGCGTGTGCGAGAAAGAAAGAGAACTAACGATGTTTGTACATACGGTACCTGAAGTCGATGAACATATTGAACAATTCCTCCTTATAGAACAAACCGACCAGACAAAATTTTCAATCGGAAACAATTCAATTCTTGATTCTTGAAAAATCAAGCGAATAATTACTCGTACATGATGCGTTTTCGTTAAAAAGAAGAGAGAGAGAGAGAAAGAAAGATTTCGTATTCGTTCGTAAAACTCGTAGTATCAATCTCGATTTAGAAGATTGTTTAGATGGCCGGTTTGATCAGACTGTCGCGGAGGGAAAACTAGATTAATCAAATTAGGCTCGAAGAAGCTTGGAAAAAAAAAAAGAAGAAAAAAGTGAAAACGTTTGACAAAGTCAACGGAGTGCGCTTTTGCGACGAGAAAACTTTTTCCTACGATTTTGCACGATCGAAGTTGACGTCGACACGCGCGTCGATGTCCCGTTGTCACGATGTGTTCACAACGATGACATTTTCGAACGCGTCTCATTCATTGTAACCACCACTTTAAGGCTCGTATATTCTAATTAACGCACCGAGTAAATATCCTTTCTTAACGATGTTTTTACACTAAACTTTTAATATAGCCAGATTTTAAAAACAGGCGAGCATGGAGCAAAAAAAAAAAGAAAGAAAAGAAAAGAAAAGAAAAGAAAAGTAAAGAAAATGCGTAGAGCATATGAAAACAAGTCGAGAAACGTACTATCAACTTCCCTCGTGCCATCGATTACAATTTGATCGTTAATTTTTACGCGAATCTGCGTAATCGTTTGAAACTTATTATATCACTTATGTTCCGATCGAAAAAAAAAAAAAGAAAGAAGAAAGAGAAGAAGGAGATAGAAAGAAAAAAAAATGAATCATAAGACTTGTTTCGTATCGATCGATGTAACGATCATTCGTGTGCAAGTAGTCAAGATCAACGAAGCGCCAGCCTCGTGTGAGTATATCCTACATTTCAAACGTTACTGATACCAAAAAAAAAAAAAAAAAAAATAAAAAATAAAAAAAAAAATAAATTGACGACAAATCGAAATACGATCGTTGTTCAAAACCAGTTTGAGTTTACTTTTTTTTTTTTTTTCCTTCTTCTCATTTTCCACCCTCTCTTCCTTTCGTACGAAATACGTTCTCAAAAAAATTTTGTAGAAGAATTCTAAATCGAAAATGGAAAGATCGCGTTGAGATCTGGATGAGCTGATTCGAAGCTCGAAAAGTCAATGGCTGCGGAAGAAGATCGAGCAAGTAAATCGAGTGCATCGATTCGCCAATTTACAAGTAACAAAGCGCTCGTTGGTGATTCACGCAGCGGCGTAGGAGGCAATCAAGTGCAAAGCACACGTTGAAATCGTAAACGCGGCTTGGTTTATTGGCATTTCAGGATCGTACGTGCTGTGAATTCCGACCGGGGGTCTTGATTAGATTGTCGTTCCGCAGATTTGATAATGGCTGATTACCTATCAATCGAATAAATCAATTATTCCCTTTCCACTCTGCGCAAATTTTGACACAGGCCAACACCACGACACGCCACCGATGGAAAAATAGAACGGAGGGGAGGGGAGGAAAAGTTTATTTTCGACCACTGTTTGCGAAACTCTGCGTGTGTTATTTTCACGTTTATCCTGCATACGTTATTATCTCGTAACTGAAACGTCACTATTTTCGCGTCTCGCTTGTTTATTCTCCGTTTGTGTAATATGCAAATGTGATAAAAGAAAAAAAAAAGGCTGCGCTTAATTTAACATCCTTTCGAAAAATGCAAATTGGTGGTAAAATGCAGGGATAAACGTCTCGATCTTACTCTTCGCGTACGTTCCGCGAAGATAACAAGATTTTCGTGGTCTGATCGTGGTTTGAAAGTGGCCGATCGAAAACTGTCGCGCGAAAGTTGGAGTGAAAAAGGGGGAGGGAAAAACTGATAGCGACGAAGTAAGAAAGGGAGGTAGGGAAGCTAACGGGACAGCGGCTTTTCAGTGATAATTAATTTTTCGCCATTGGTAAGTCCGTAACGAGCTCGTTAAAAAGTTTTGACACGTTTAGACCTGGATTCGGCCGTGCAAAAACCTTTTAAGTTTCCTCCCTCGAGACGAATGGTCGGGCAGACTGAATGAGCAGTTGGTTTCTTCGTCCGACCTTCCGGCCGCAATCGTCTCCCTCTCTACCCTCTTTTTTTCCTTCCTTTCTTCCTTTTTCTCCACTACTATCCAGCCCACTACTATCTCCATTTCCCATAGATTTTCTCTATTCTTCGCCTCTAATCTTTGTCGACCGGTGTGCTCTTGCCCGATGACTTCTCGCGGCAAAAAGACGAGAGGGGAGAAGATGAGGGAAAAAGGTTTGAAATAACAGTGGGAAGGAAAAATAAAAATAATGAATGTGAGACGCGAAAAGACGCGGAAGGCGAGGGGAGGTGAAATCTCGAAGAGAAGAGAAGCGAGAAAGTGAAAAGACAATGCTGAGCCCGCTCTCTTTGTTCCCCTCCCTTGGCTGGATATCTGCCAAGTTTATGAAAGAAACTATAAATTTCATCCTTTAATCCAGCCCTTCCACGCGAAATAATACGAAATCGTCGTACGTGTAACGAATTTCGCCGAACGAAATTACTTCAACAATCGCGCTATATGTTCCAAGGATTCTTACGACCCTTTTCTTGAAGTTTCGAACAATCGTTTTGAGAACCGTCGTTAGACGAAAAAGTACGTAGGGCAGATTCTTCCCTCGCGCGTAACGATCATCCTAAGGGCGAGGAGGAGGGCGAGGAAAGGTTGAAAAATTGGCGAAAAGCGCAAGATTAACCGAGACAGCCATGTGTATCGAATAGGGGTATGAAATGAAATATCGATGGCCCGAATTTTGGCCCTCGAGCGATCGGAAGATGAGGTATCAAGTGGAAGACAGGATAATGACCGCCGTAGCCAGGAGAAAATGGCGCTGGAGGCTAGAGTTCTAACACACACATAGAGAGAGAGAGAGAATTAACGGTACGTTTACGGGAAATTTGCAGCACGGGCGATCTTGCTTTCAGCTCATACGATCGGGAATCAAATATCGGTCCGCAGGTTGATCGTATTCCGGTTTTGGAGAGGGCGGCTTTACGATTCGGTCGATCGTAAAGCTTGATAGCCGGCCCTAGGTCCGGGCAATAGATCGGCCGACCTTCGTTTCTAGCCACCAGACCACAAGACTCGACGGCACCGTTTCACAGAATCTCCTCGTTCGTGAATATTATATCGCGGCCGTGATTGAATCGATGCGGAAACGGAGAAATTCGATTTGATTCGATCGAAAGGTCGGCTCACTTTGTCCCGGCTTTCGTCGACTTTTATACCAACATCGATTGAAAAATTCCTACGGAATACGGTTTATACGTATACTTTTGTACAAGATTCGCTTTATCCGCTACGATCTGCCAATCCAGTTTCAAATCGTTCTTCTTAAACCGTTAAATTGCCACGAGACTTGAATTATCGAACGCGTGCCCTCCCCCTAGACACGTTTGCTCAAAAATTTATTCATTCTTGACGAATTCGGGACTTTCCGATGATCACACGGGGGAGATACGAAACGGGCGACCGTATCAAATATTTAATTTTACGAGCCGAGACCTTTGAGAATTAACCTCCCTCGAGTGTGGCAATCTTAAATTTATCCGGAATTTTGTTTGATTCGCACCGGTTCTCTTTTTCTTTCTTTCTTTTTCTTTTTTTTTTTTCTTTTTTCCTTGCCACATCGAATGAAAATTCATAAAGCGGATACATACAATGGTATATTGATGAAATGTAGCGACGTGAAAAAAAAAGGATATATTTTTTAGCTTTTCCAATTCCGACCAAGCGAAATATAATAAAAACAAAACCGCGTGTTAAAAATAAGCGGACGGGGATTAATTCGGGGATTAATTCGGCCAAGTTTTTTAAACGGCGTTCCTTCCCCTTTTTTATCGTGTTTTTCCCGTGACGATGACGCGAACTCGCGGATTCAAAAAGCAATAACAAAAGTGTCGGTCATCGTAATAAATTACGAAATAAATGAAACGCAAATCCGGCCGTGCGCGGCTCGTAAACGGCAACAACATTAGCACGCGTGTTAAATGGAAGAATCTATCCGAGGCCCGTAATATCCCCGCCAATATCTGTCAAGATTGCAACGTAAACACCCGCTGCGGCGTAAAGTAGGTTTTTTATATGAATTTTCGAATAGAGAACGACACTCACCGGAAGTTCAATCTCCCGCCCATGGCTGCGAAACCGTTGCACGCCGTTCGTTCGGTTTATCCCCGTTTTTGCCATATTTCCTTGTACACACACACACACACACACACACCCATGTGTGTGGAATATCCGCGCGCCCGACGACACTCGCTCGTCGAATCCCTGAAAATAGAATGTAAACTTTATGGGGAAACACGCGTGGAAACGAAACGCGTTAACCGTGAATAAGAGAGAGGATAAAAAAAAGGGCAAACAATAAAACGTCTCTTTAACCCGAGGCGTTCTTTAATACCGTTCCATCCGCCATCTCCCACTTAACGATATTAAACCGATCTTAATTCACTGGTGGCTCGGGAATAGAAATTTTTCCTTCGTCCAACCTGATACGGATGAAATTCATAACCAGTTCATATCCGCGCGAGAAACGAAAGCCTGTTGGAAGACCTGGCCGCGACCATTGTCTGGAATTATCGAATTACACTTTTCTCTTTGCGTTCGCTTTCTTCGCGTTCTTCTTTTCTCACGGCGATTCTTTATCGCTTTATTCTTCTCTTTCCTTTTCCCTTTCTTTTTTTCGTTCTTTTTTTTTTCCATTCTTTATTTCTCTCGCAACACTTTGCGAGCCAAAGTGTCGAGCACACGCGTCCAACGTGCGTTTTTTCGCGGAAATTGAAATCGGGCGGCGGTTTATGGCGGCGAGGAATCGCGCATATATATCATGGTGCACGGCTTTTACGATCGCCGTTGTTACGATCGATGATGGGTCAGCCTCGAGTAGCTGCGAGAAAGACAATTTAAGGAAATACGTATACCGATTTATTTTATCTACGCTACGCTACGCTTTTGTATGCAACGCTCGCTCGCACGAGCGAAAAAATTTCGTTTGAAATTTAAACTATGCGCAAACTTTCGCGTAGCAGAACGGATGTAACCCGTTTAAATTAAGCCGCTTTGCGGTAGGATAATTAGATTTAGAGAAAATTACGTGTGGGACGTTGTACGTTGAAGTTACAGCTATAAAACGAAGGGGGAAAAAATGCGACAGTGCAGGCAAAACACCGCGAACCGTAATATTAATTTTCCTTTACCTTTTTTTTCCCCCTTCCTCCCCTCGAGATTAAATATCTCGACGGGTACCAGGATCTCTTCCCCGAGAAATCGTTTAAATAACACCGGCGCTTCACACCGTTCGAAGACTGAAATAATATCTTATTCTTGGTATACAGGTCGGCTGGTTTCTTTCAATTATTATTATCGACATTGTTACCGTTTGACCTGGCGCGGCCTGGTTCAGTCGAAGACTTTGCATACGCTCTTACGCAAATACGTGATCGGCCACCGGATATTTATCGTTTTTCTTTTTTTTTTTTTTTTTTTTTTTTTAACTCTTCTTTTATCGAACAGCAGTAACATCGTTTCGACGCGCTGGGTAATATAGATGGGAGATTGCGTTGCAATCTGCGTAAATCGAAACGAGAGATTTCGTTGGGGAACGTATTTCACGGCGAAATATGCAAATTCGTGTACAGTTATGCGAAATCGTGGCACAAAAAAAATATTATTTCAAAATGACAGTGACGAAACTGCGTTTTTCCTACTTCGATCGGAGGAAATGGATATAAATAGGTAGAAATACATGGAGTAAAATTTTTGGTTGAAAAAAAAAAAAGAATCAAGGGTGTTTAAAATTTGTTTAAAAATATTCATTTTATTCATCTTTAGACTTTTCCCGAATATATGAACAAGTTTCCGCAATATTAATATTCTGTATAAAATAATAGCTTTTTATACAACAGTATAAAAATACCGTTTCCATAATCTTATTCGCCGTGAATAAACACGGCTGCGTCATCGAACGAAAAAAAAAAACGCTCCTGGCGGTAATTTTAAAAAATAAGATCTAAATCGCTCAACGAATACACCTACTATACATATATAATATACGAGTCTCTGAACTTTTTTTTTTTTTTTTTTTTTTTTTTTTTTTTTTTTTTTTTTTTTTTGACTATGACGATCGTTCTTTGTCAACGCGTAACAGCAATATATAATTTTATCTCTTCTCATATTCTCTATTCTCTCAACAATCGTCGGAAAAAGGTACTTGTAAGTAGGTACAGTGAGCGTCGGCCGATAATAAGTACTACCAACCGATCGACTTTTTATATCGTTGATTCTCAACAACGATGATAAAATTAAAAAGAAAAAAAAAAAAAAAAAAAAAAAACAAGAAAGATAATATTTTTTTAACTTAATCGATCACAAACAACAAGGATACACGAACAATTCTTTTCGTGAAGCGTCAAGGATAAAACTTTAAACGTAATAATAATAATAATAATAACTAGAGAAACAACAACACCGAATCAATTTTTTTCTTCTTCGGAGGATTGGACGAGACGAGAGAAGAGGACTAGAGCTAAAAGCGGGACAGCAATCGTAAGGTTGGGATATTTCTTTTTCCATTCCTTTGTTTTTTTCAACGATTTTTTCCAACCGTGGAGAAGAGGCGTCCGAATCTTCGAGAGGCGAGTGAATCTTCGAAGAACGCCCTTCGACTCGAAGAAATAATAATCGGGAATAACGGAGGGTAACGTTCCACGGTATTACCACGGTATCGCGGAAAAAGCAGAAAAAAAAAAAAAAAGTGGCGAAAAGCTCGACTGTTCGTGACTCGTGTTTCTCTTTCTCTCTTTCTTGTTCGGTTAGTTGGCCACTTTCTCCCGTTTCAGAGAGCCAAGCTCCTCCAGCATCGCTTGTAGCCCTTCGGGAACTCGTCCGGCGTCCAATTCTTGTCCCCACTGCCGATACTGCAAACGAAAATAACGGATAACTGTTACACGAGCTTTCAACTGACACGCGATCGAACATCGTTTTTCTTTATACCCATACAGTTTCTCGGGAAGTTTAAGGGAACTTGAAAGGTTGGGGGATTGGTGATGCGGACAGACGGCAGGAAAGGCTCTTCTCTCTCTCTCTCTTTCTTTCTCTGTTTCTCTCTCTTTCCTCTTCCATTCCATACGCTTGAATAAGGAAACGTGGGGGAGGAAGAAGATTTTTCGAACTCTGTAAAGGAAGGCTTAAAAAAAAGAAGGTGAAAAAATTTCGTGGTAAACGAGTTGTTATGGATACACATGCTACGTTTCAAATGTACGTACCTTTAAAACTCTTATCGGATTTCATTCGTTCGTTCGTCAAAGGGAAAACGGTCACGATTTAACGAAATTCAAACTCACGTTTATAACACTGTTTTCGAGCAAGTAATATCGTGAAATCGCGTTCAAAAAAATTCGAAAAATGCGATAAAATTATGTGCAAGCTTGGTTTCCCAGCAAGTGAGAAAAAAAAAAGAAAGAACATTAGAAACGCAAAGTTGAGTTAAGATTTTCCAATACGGATGTTTCGTTCATAGGAATCGGAACTAATTCTGGAAACTTCTGGAGCGCCCATTATTCCATTGGAAAAAGAGAAAAAAAAAAAATAACAAGAAGAAAACGCGACATGTTTACGATTCTTCGGAAAAACTTTGTACCCTCCCGATATTCTTCTTCTCCTCGTCCCGGCATGGGACGAGAATTTACGATATTAACGCACGCGGAAAATACAAACGCAACCCGTGCAACGGATTCCAGGACAAGGCTGTAACTCTTTTTCCGAAAGGGGATGGATAAGATGGGTGGGCCACGATTGCATAATCGAGAAACGCGTGATTTTAAAAAAAGGAAGGGGAGGGGGGAGCCGCCGGAATAATAGGTGTATAACTCAGATCGCAAATCGCGAGAACTTCTTCCTTTCGAAAGGATTTATTATATCGGCCGGTTTCATGGGCTATATATATGTATGTATGTGTATATATATATACGTGAGAAATGTGACGGAGGAGCGGAATCGTGGAACGGAATAAGACGATGGAAGATGGGAAATTTTCCATGAAGGACTTACCATCTCCAACTCCCTTCGAAGTGCGAGCACAGCCTTTTCGCGGTCGGCTACCAACTCTTCGAGGTATTGATACCTTAGCTTCTTGCGAGCACGACACTCCCTCGCACTCTGTCGACTTCGTTCTGGAAAAATATATAAGGAAAACCGTGAAAATCTGAGAAGCACGCGTAGACCTAATATACATATATATATATGCACGTATTTCGTAAAGACTTCTTTTCGTCATAATTATCTTCTTCGAGAAAATGTAAAAATAATCGCAAAAGGGGGATTAATATGAATTATAGGAACCGAGAAAACATTCCTTGCTACCGATTCAATCTTCTATTATTATTAGATACGAGGGTACTCCTTTAATAAATAAATAATAATCTTCTTTAACCGTACGATATTCGCAATTTTCCTCGCAAAACGTTCTTAAAGAAGGATAGAAAAGACGATTACGAGAAACGATAAGGGAAACGAAAGAAGTAAGCATATCTGAAAGAACCGACCTTCCTTCTTCTCTTGCTAAATTTTTCACGCTAGATCGAAACCAATGGGTATGGGATACGATCGGGTATTAATAATTTAATACAGATTCGCTACACGAAATCCGGTACTCGTGAGGAGGTGAAATGAAACGGTATCCTAATACACCGTATATTTTCCAAGAGGCGCTTTCTTTCGAGCCACTTTACACGCGTGCTAAATTTCCACGCGTGCAACGCAAATATATATCGCTCTATTTTTCGACGTCAAACCATCCGCCCGAAATATGAACAGCGTGATATTATGGTTGGAAAAAAATTCGCGGCTTAATGATACTCGGGAGCGCATTAAACCAGGAATGCGTTAACTCTTGATGCCAGGGCAACTGGAAACGCGATACTTTCTTTCCGGGACGTACGACGGCACGTAGACAATAGAAACGTGCGGCAAAAATTGTGTACGCGTAAAGGAATTATGGAATTAAATTAAAGAGGAGAGGAAGGAGGGAGAGAAAAAAAGAAAAAAAAAGAAAAAAAAGAAAACTCGATTAGAATAAGCTTTCGAGATATGTTTAAAATTCCATCCAGGGGTATGGAAATCGTTTGAAAAAGGAAGACGAGATTTCTTTGTGCCCGAGATAAGAAAGGAAAAGCAAACTGAAGAATACGTAGCGCGAGACGGCAGCTGCGCGAATCGAAACGAAACGAGAAGAAGTTTTCCATCTGACTCCGCATGCAAATACCATTATGCGCTACGACCAATGTTGCCTTCGAATGGTTTTCTTACTGCAATTGCGCGAAACAGAGAGGAAGGGAGTATATCGTGTAGACTATCGTAAAATCGAAACTAAATACCACTACCCCATTCGCTGTCACCCCGAAACGAACGAAGGGAAGCTCAAACTGCTCGCTAACGACGAGCAGTTCGTCGAAAGAGGAACGAGCATCGATAAATAACCCTCTCTCCCCATCCCGTCATAAATTGTCCCCGGTAAAAATTACAAACGAAGGTGAAGGACGTGGGCGTCCGCCGCTGGAGCAGGTTCAACCGTCGCGCGATAAATTCGCGCAACTCAAAATGGGACGCGCGATTTTTCACGCAACTGTACGTGGCCCGTATCCTGAATACGGCGCATACGTGGACATAGTAGAGGGGGGGAGGCCTGACGAATGGCAACGAGGCCAATTCGTCTCGCGACACAGCTCGCCAAGAAGATCAACCGTCGGATAAAATCGATCGTATAATAGCCCGTTCCAGAGATATTGCAAATTTCTCCGGGAGCCGCGGCGTGATAAAGCTCTTTACGATCAAGGGTCGCGGCTATTATCGCGTCTACGGCTCGCTAAGCCCGCCTTTTACGCGGCAATAAACGTCCCCTCGCCCGCGACCGCCTCCTTCCTGTCGCGGGTGGCTTTCTTTCTCGAGAGAGAGAGAGAGAGGAAAAGGTGTCCCGAAGCACGAGAGGCTTTTCACGTCGAATCGAGCCTTTAACTTGGATCAGAGGGCAATTTTATCGGGAAGGAATTCATCGTGGTGTGGACGGCTCTGAACGGCTCGAACCGAACCGATTCGAAAATTAAGCGATTATCAATTTTGCGGCTTGATTTAGGAAACTGGCGGGATTAAACGAGACTTGAATGACCGGTAAAAATGAAGCGATCCAGAGGGCACGGCGCGAGCGAATGAAATTAGGGAAAATTGGATTTATGGGCGTTGATCGGAGAGGAGAAAGAGAAATCGGAAAGGTTGGTGGTAGAAAGTCAGAAATTATAGTTGTCGGGAGGAGCGGGGGGAAGGAGGAGGTCTTGGCTGGGCGGTGATTCGAGCGAAAGGAAGGAAGGAAGGAGGGAAGGAAAAGAGGTCAGAGGTCGGATGGAAAATTACGAAAACGCGGAGGACAAGAATGGCGGAGAGGACGAAAGCGTGGTTCGACCAGCGGAGTTACGAGCAGCCTGGGATTGCGGACGCGAGAGTTAGTCGTAAAACGAGCTTAAATCCTGTTCGTGTTGTTTCCCATCCAACCTTAGAAACCAGTTCGAATGTACGACAGAGGTTGGGGAAGAGGTTGGGGGAATGGTGGTTTGGAAAAGTCTGGAACAGTTGAATTCACGAGAAAAATCGTTTCGCTCGTGTGACTTCTTCGCGAGTTCATACGTGAACGCGTATTTATAAGAGACACGATTTCAGCGATCGTGTAAAAGCGAGGAATAGCGATGGAAAAGTCGCAGGATTAAAAGAAAGAAGAAAAAGAAGAAGAAAGAAAGAAAAGGAGCAACGAAGAGCTGTAACATCGTTCCAACGTTTTCTCGCCAATGACTTTACCATAATCTCTCTCTCTCTCTTTCTCTTTCTCTGTCTGATTAGCAAAACGACGGAATTGCAAAATACACCTTTCCATCTCGTCGCGGCGCAGAATCATCGGGAACATCGGTTCCAGCCACCGAGTTGACCCAGCATAAATATTCATTCGTTTGGGAAGAATAAATATTCCTGACGGTGTCATGGGGTCTGGTACCGTCACTCGACGGCGTTCGTAATCAACCAACGTGCATTTCTCACGTGGTTTCCGCAATGCGAGCGCGGTTACATCTTGTTCTGCCGCTTAATACGCGACCGGAAGAAATGCAAATGAGGATTAACTTGACTTCTTAAAGATGAATCGCGAATAGAGCAGGAAGGAAAAACGATTCGCGATTCGGGACGAGATTGGGATTTGAATTATTTTTTTTAAAAAAGAAGGACGACGCTTGGAATTATCGAGTTGATTTACACGAGCGCCATATCGTATTATAAAATTCCACGTGAAATAGCCGAAGGCGTAAAGGTAGGAAACTGCTGTCTCTTATCTCGTAAAATTTTGCCACCGTTTCTCCGACATATTTTTACAATTTTTATCTGAGTTTTTTTTTTCTTTCTTTCGTTTCTCGGCCACTTGAAAGTGGCATCGATATAAATCACGACTTTGTATATGATACTTTGGATATCGTCGTTCACGAATAAAATACAGGGACGAATAAAATTGAAATGGATTACGGAGGTACGTTGAGAAGCTTCTTACCAAGCTTGGCTTTCATGTCCGTCTTGTCGGACGCCTTCCTTCCAGGCTTGCGTCCCCTCTTACCCCCCTCTTTCCGATCACCGCGAGATCCCTCCTGCGAAATAAAAAGAAAATTGTCAAAATTTTGAAAAACCTATTTATGAGAATTGGGAGAATTTCGAGCTCTAAAGCACGTGGTGGACATGGTTAAACGCATTCCAGCTACGCAGAGATGTACGATTTAAAAATCCGAGCACATCTCGAACAATTAAAAAGCGGAGGTAAGAGAAGTAGGACGAACGAGCAAGAATCGTGACACGTGCGGAATACAGCGTTGCGGTGAAAAACTTTGTACATGGTTGTCGAGCGAAATCTCGAATGGCAACGCGGAACATCGGAGCGGCGAAATGGATAGCGGTGAGATCTGAAAGCGGATGATACGAGTCTCAACGGCGACGTAATACCCGCCTAATCCGTTGTTTCTTCCTGTCACTGATTAATATCTCAAACGAGTTGGTTCGAGCTAGTGGAGAACAAACGTCCAACGTTTTGAATGGAAACAAAAGCTTATGACGGGAAGAGGAAAGAGAAATAGAAAGAGAGATGCAGGTTGGCTAGGATCGCTAAAAGCCCCGCGCGAACCCATCCATCGACGCAATCCCTAAAGCGCCCCACCGCCGTCGTTTACAGTCACGACCACATTGACGAGTTTTCGCGCTAGGGTAACTACTTTGCCAAATAACGTAGTTTGTCGTTGCGAAAAAGCTCAGACGGCGCCTCTTCCTTCCCGATCGTAGCCCGCTTAACTTTTTAACGCCCCATTGACGCGAATGGTCCGTTCCGTAAATCGAAAAACACGGTTACCACTCCATTACCGAAACTTGTTCGCTCGAAAGAGCTATCCTCTCCCGCAGATAAATTGTTTAATGTGGGGGGGAAAAAAAAAAAAGAAACGTTACTGGATGAATTCGAAATTTCTCCTTACCCTCTCGAAAGATAAAGAAAGCGAAACAAAACGAGTATATAACTTAGGCGGGGTAGGCGTGCCTTTGCCACGGCGACCTTTCACGACCCGTTAAAATTTACACGTCCCCGGAGCACGGTTGTTGCGACGAGTAGAGGCGGCCGCAGGCTTAGCTATGCATGTACTCACGGGTGACAAAATACAAATTCAACCCCCTTTTAGGAAACCTGTTTACCTTCGGCCCTATCCTTTCCTCTCAATCCTATCTGGTATTAAATCTCCTCGAATCCTCTTTCTTTCCCTCCACCGCTTCCGACTTCTTTGCCCTTTCTCCCTCTCTCTCTCTCTCTCTCTCTCTCTGTCTCTCTATCTTTATGTCTCTCTCTCTCTCTCTCGCTTCGAAACACTCCATCCATCCTTTTCCGTCCTTCTTCGCTCCTCGCGCGCACGCGCCTCTTTGTGGGTACAAAATGGAATTGATGTTCCGCGATGAACGAGAAAGGAGAAAGAGAGAAAGGAATACAAAGATCGCATAAGAATTCCTATCGTGTAAGTAGATAGGGAGCCTCTATCGCGGGACTCGCGGTCCGCCTTAAAGCCAAGAATATAATTAACTCACCGCGACGGATGATGTCACCGTGCGGATACGGACGCGAGAACAGCGATTAAATCGAAAGAAAAAAATAAAAGTTACGCCTCTATCGAATCTATCCATAGTTTCGCGCGAAATTTGGGTCACACTTGGGCGGTGCGCTTACTACCAGAAGGGTAGGAAAACTCGTTAAATCCCACTGTCGTTGACACTTCCGTCGATTTGCTGGCCACCCTATCGCGAACAGCGTGCTACTCTGCACCATCCTTCCTGCGCTTGACAATTCCACTCGGATTCCTGACGTGTATCCGATCGTCCACCGAAGGGAACCGATTCGCCGGTATCCGGCGGAGAGAGGGGGGGGGGACTTTTTGCCCTTTCAATCTCCCGTGAATTCGAACCACTTTCGACTCTATTCGACGCTTTTACGTTTACGTTATCATTGATTCTTACCGATCGATTATTATTTTTATTTTAATGAATAATCTTTTCCGCTGAAACGTATACGTATATCAATATATAGAAAATATTCGAATCGACAGTGAGTTTCGTTTCGACGAAAACGCTTGTATTATTATTATTATTATTATTATTATTATTATTATTATTATTATTATTTGTATATTTTAAAGATCACGCTTCGAAGATTTGCGAAGGTTAGAGATTGTAAGATATCGACACGATTTAACCGGATGCGCGATAGTACACGACAGGACGGCAAAGACCGGAAGTTGGTAAACCGCACTGTACACAATCGAGCACGAAGGCTTTGTAGTTTCGCAGTTGGTCGGCCGATTCCCTCTTACGCGAGCGCAAAAGCCGGGTTGCGCGGCTCGCTTCGTACCAGGACTGGCTTCGTTCCGCGTGAAGCGTGATTTAATCTAGCGACATGAACGCACGACTCGTCGCCACGGCATGTACTTACATGTACGCGCCACGCTTTAGTTTATACCTACAATCGAGCGAGCAGTGCGTGACCAGTGATCGTGTCAAAGGCGATCTCACACGCGTTGTTGAAACGTGGTAGAGACGCGCGATCGAATATATAGGCTTACCTTATCTTATTTTCCGATAACGATCAATTATATCATCATATTTTATCGCGAATAGTATCTTTGATGAAAAAAAAAAAAAAAAAAAAGATACAAAGAGATAAAATTTTGATCGAGTTTTTAAACGAAATTTTAAAATATAATGGAAACGTTATGCACGAAAACGCGTGCTATTATCTCAAGATTACTTCGGTATGCCAGAAATTTTACCCCCATCTCCCGTTTTCCCGTGAATCGATCTCGCCAACAGAGAATGGATATTACGCGTTATTATATATATATATATATATAAGAATTAATACGAAAACTAGAGAAGAGACAGTACGCTGTTCTGTTGAAAATTTTCCAAATGAGGGAAAAGTTGAGTTTGGTCGACGATAAAATTGAAATACAAATAATTCTCACTTTGTACTTATGGATCGACAGATATTGCCCTGTCGGTGGAACTATTCGCGGATAAAAATTTCCTCCGGGTTACCCAGTGAATTTCCATTCGCGCTAATGAAGTATTTGCACATCGCGTCCGACACGTTCGATTCATTTTATACACGGACCTTTCCGCTCTCCTTAAATTTCACTTCGTTATTCTGGCGAAAATTTATCCAAGCGATCGCCCCACATGGTACGGGGAAAAAATTAACGCTCGGAAATGAGAGGTACCTTTTCTCGAATGCATTTGCGATTAATTCGATATCCAAGGCGGAAATGTCGTTCGTCAACGCTTCCTTTTACTCGACGGAATAACTTTCGGCCGAGTGGAAAGTCTTTAATTGCGAAGGATACGTCCTTGGCCCCCGTTCTATCCTTTCATACGGCTCGAACCACTCTCGAATTTCATCAGAAAGAACTCGACGTCGTTCAATTAATTTTCATTATTAATGGAATTACTCCTGGACTCCCTTAGAGAGAGACTCTCTTAAACGCGTTAGCCATCTTTCCACCCCTTAATACCCCCTATTACCCCGAAATCTTTTCACCACTTCCAACTCGGTTTTCCGCGCCTCTCTCTTATTCTCTCTCCGACAATTCTCGTCAATTTTCACTTCGAAATAACCCTCCCTCCATTTCTCTTCCCCTTCCACCATCCATTTCCCACTAACACACCGACCTTGATCACGCGGTCTCGTTAACGCAGCTAACTTTAACCGCTTTAATACCGCGTAATACCCTATCGAAATTTGCCAAAGTCTTTGTTGTATATTTCGACGCCAACTGATCATTCTCGGTCGTTCAAGGGATGAGTCACGGAGGCGAATAAACCGCGACGCTCGAATTTTCGTCCGATTACAAAACGCGATTGTCGGAATGACGATGCAAATCCAAGTCTCGCGGATAACCGAGCAATTTTCTCCGCTTCGATCGTAATGTCGCGCGCCGAAGGTCTCTCATCGTCCGTCTCGTTCTTCGCGGAACAGAGGCAGAGATTGCCGCGAGGTTCAATTATTCAGTAGTCGGGAGGAGTTAGGCGAAATCCTCTTACGCTCGTCCCCGATTTTTCCTTATGAAAGGAAATTCATAACAATGTTTACACGGGACGGGAAATAAAGACGAAATTGAAAATCGTCGCGAAACACGACGTCCACCACGTTTTCGACTAGCGCGTCGAACCTACGATTTTACTTTTATGCTTTCTCTTTGATCTCCGAATCTATCTTCGCTTAATTCTTCGCGCGGATCGTGAAATTCGATCAAGTATGAACTCGATCCGCAAGAGAATCCGTTTCGTCGAATTTCAATGATTGGGGAAATGATCAACATAAGGCGGAAAAATCACTGTCGGACAAAACGCGACAAACGTCGTAAAATTATCATTGAACTATGATATGATAAGTTTAACGTTCGTACCTACGAATCAGTGATATCGATAGAAACGTTGTTCACGCTCGACGTAGATAGTTACGACTCACGTTTGTAAAACGCGAAACATCGAGTGAGCGTGCAACGCAGTTACCGGATCCGCGAAGCGCGCAACCTTATTATTACCTCCGTTCGTCGAAGGTTGTACAATCCTCCGACGCTCTTTCAACGATGACCTACAAAATGAATCTCGCAAGAGGAAACGGAGACTTGGTCGAAGGCTTAACGAACGAAACAAAGTCTATAGAAGTCTACATGTATCACTTATAAAAACACTGAAAAAACGGTTCACTTCTAAATTTTGAATATGTTCGTCGTACATAATATTGAATTGCTAGAAAAGTAATGCCATTTGTAATTGTAAATTTATCTATCCATTATCCATAATCCATAATGTTTTTAAATCATTTGAATTTTATATAAGTATTGCGCAACTGCTATGTAATCTATTGGCAAATGTTTTTATATTATATTGTAGTTTGAAATTCGATCTTTGATAAATCGTTCATTGATACGTACATTCATTCGCAAGATTTATTTCAAAAGTGTAGCAATTAGTTTTTAGCAATTTTCTTGGGAATAATTGTATTTATATCTTCTTTAAATTTTTTAAAAATGATATAATATGAACAATTGAAAAATAAAATTGTTCTATTTTGCGTCTAATTATTATAACTATGTTTAATCTATATCATTTCTAAATTTAGATAAAAATATAATATTTTATGAATATAGAATATGTCATTCTTATAAAATAAATTTATCTTATTGTTTATCTTAACAGAACCAAAAAACAACAAATAACTTTCCCATCAATCAATCCAATAAAATCTCATTTTTATTATTATTTTTTTTTCTTTTCTTGATTAACAAAACGAATTCGTGTTTCCGAGATCGAAGGACGAAACTGTATATGAAAACGAGGTAAACATTATATTCATAGCAAACAAGTGCGAAAAAACAGAGGTAAAAAACGAGACGACACCAAGAACGCACGTAAAAGCCTTCTTGGGTTTTTTCACATCATTGTACACCGAAGAATTAACGTGACTGAACGAGAGACGAAGAAAGAAAAAGAAATGGAAAAAGAAACTTCATAATTTTTCATCCACACCGATGCCACTATGTAATAATAAACGAAAATTTCGAATATGATGGCAAGACATTATATTGATTGAAATAATTGCCCTATGCCAACAAAAATCCCGTATATTCAAAATTCCCATTTTCATTCCCGTTTCCCGCGCTAAATTCGCAATCGTCAAACTAATTTTTTATTCTAATATCTGTCATTGTCGATCTAGCTTAATTATTTTTTTTTTATTTCATTTATGTTTTAAAAATTTAATCGGTTACGTACACAAACGCGTGAAAATATTCGAACATTGTAATCGATAATCGTACAGTAAATCGTAATGATCGTACAATAAATAAATGTTTTGAAAATTTTTTATATATATTGTATCTATTTACGAAATATACATTATAATAACATGTTATTTTCAATAAAATTTATATCTATCTTCAAATAATATTCGAAATATCGTACATTTTATGTACAATCGTAATTGTAAAACATTTTCAAAATATTTATTATAGTATACGATCTGTTTATATAAATTAGCGAATCATTGTTCGAATGATTTCCTAAATTGAAAATAAAAAATTAAATTACTTAAAGTCAAACTGTTTTAAATATCCAATTATAAAATGGCAAAATTATCTGCAAGTTGATCTCCAAATTAACGAAACACTTTCTGAGAAGCAATTTCGAGTTGAATTTATGATGAAAAAATGCTATAGAATAAATGCAATCTCGTATAGATAAGTAACAGTCATAAGAGATTTACGAACCACGAAACATCTATCGTGATGTTGCTCTGTTGTTCATTACGTTTCTATTGCTTTGCAAATATATCGATAAAAGAGCGAGCCTGATGGGGTTGCTCACAAAATTTAACTATTGCGATTCATTCTAACGATTGAATTAGTAGTACAATCGAGAATCTATGATATCGCTGTTTCTCGACACTATCGATTTTAAACGAATCTATTTTAATGTACAATACTTCACTTCGGTAATCGAAAGATCTCGAAATGCACCTCTTTCATCTTGATCGTGAAATTAATTCTTTGGCCATAATCTGTTCAAATTATATGACAGATATTTAGTTATATGAAGATATTTAGTACGAAATATATAAAAAATGAATTGTAATTAATCTTATTAAATCAATAGGTATTAAATATTTCGAAATTAAATATTTTCAATTTCATTCAATAATCGTTACCCTTTCTTTATCTCACTGCAAAATATTTTTACCACAAATTATAATATTATAATATTCATTGATTTTGTAAACATAATCCAATAGTTATCAGAAGCTCGAGTAAACAAGGATTTCGATATCGAAATATAAATTTCGAATTAACAAAATAATGATGATGCAAAATATTGATTACGTTTTACTTATTTATTAAACGATGCAATCATAAATGGAACTTATCGTATTCTACTATATAAATAAAAAATTTATCGATAAAATCGAAAAAAATTCAGAACAAATAGATCAATGTATACAATTTCTTTCTATCAAACATAATAGTTTCGAAAATAATTCCAAATTATATTGTAAAACGTAAAAAGTAATAATCTATTTTATTAAAATTAAATATTGTGACTAAGTTAATAATATGTCAAAATTCAAGTGAATTAGGTTAAACTTCACACAGTTAATAAAAAAAGAAATATAGGCCTGTTTTAGCTTAACATCGTTGAAACGCAAAAGAATTTGTCAGTAAAATGACAATGATAAAAAGTGATTTTCCTTTAAATTCATACCTATATACTGAAGTTTTCGCAATTAATAGCAGTTTTCTCCCGCGATAGATGTATACCGTTGAATTGCGCAGTAGCGTCGCGTGTGGGCGACCAAATCTAAAGTAGCTAACACGATCGACCGGCATTTCAAACTGTGTAACAACATTGAAATGAATCCCACAAAATTCGAAAAATTTAAAATATTCCGCGCGCTCGACTATTAGCAACCATAATGTATGCCGGCAAAAAAGCATGTGTACGTATTGTTGACTGAATAAGAACAGAATCAACAGGGTATGGTTCGGAAATAGTATGTATAGAGATATTTAGATAATGAAGGTAATTCCAAAACTGATTATAAAAAGACGAACATTAAGACATACAAATAACAAAAATATTCTAAAAGAACTATGAAATTATAAAAATATATAAAATGTGTTTATAGAAAACTCACCGGTGCTACGCGACGTGTGAGCTGTGTCAACTGCGCAGTTGACGAGTTAAAATGCTGAGTTCAGGGACGTCGTGCTCGATACCGGTGCCCAAACGATATAATCGGTAATACTAAACGACAAATGCGGCACATATCGGCGATTTATAGAACAACTTGTGACACTGATTTTAAAATTATTCTTACGTATTTACGATCAAGATATATGGTCCATTTTCTAAACGTATCAATTGGATCATTAGAACGCATAATTTTTTTTAAAACTATCAATTGATAGTTTACAATAATTTTTTTTTCTTTCATTTTTTTTCATTAATTTATAATATATTTTTATTGAAAATAATACTTTAAATATATTTTTATCCAATTAAACAATTAATAAAATGTTTTCTATTGTACTTTCTTATTATTTTAAATTATTACAATTATTGATTACAATTATTGATTAAGTAATGACAAATACCTAATATTTTTAAATTTACTTACTGAATTTTTTTCTGCATTATGATAATATATTTGATAGCAAGTATATGATAAAATATGAAATAAAATTTGACATTGAATTAAAATGTAGTAATGATAAATTCTACACTTTGATATGATATATCAGAATTTTTTAAATATATATAACAATAAAATTATCAAATTCAATAATTTAAATATTTTTTTATATTAATATAAATATTATTATTAAACTAATATTAAAGAATTTCATAATGCTAATTATATAATAAATTTATACGTTAACGTAAATCATTTGATTTCTTATCAAGAAATAGACTCCAGTATATTCCGTGCCTGAATATCACATGATCATACAAAGATGGTAGCGCCATCTTTTGCCAATTAAAAAAACGAAAACGAAAGACACGTGGCGCGACAGTCGACAAGAATGCGAAAGAACAAAATAGCGACATCGAACGTCAGCTTTACTATATGAACAGCAAGAAGCGCACACAAGCAAACAGCTACCCTTCGATTCTACTTTCCCCTCCTTCCCCACGACCCCTTGACAAATCCTCGATCCCACAGATCCTGACGTCAAACGAAAGAAACAACGCCCTTTGTCATCAGTTCAAAATTAATAAGTACTGTAAAAAGCCTGACATTTTGTACGCGCGCCCTCTTTGCACAACATGGTGTAATCTGTTTAACGCGCGTAATCTTGTTGCCTGATTTTCATGGCAGTTTGCATCACACGAGCACGTTGTCACTTTATCGTTTCCTCAAATTGTCGACTCACCGTCTCGTTTTCAACGATACACATAGGCTCCAGTTCCATGACTCTCGTGGTTTTACTTCTTTTCGATGTTCCTCAAGCAAATACTTTGTGACACTCTTTGTTAGATCGTGATTGTATTCTATTCTCAATACTTTACAACGGCAACGTGTGTCTGTTTACAAACACTGCAAGGTCACACAGCAGACCCCCAGACCTTTGACTGTCGAGTATTTCGTATTACGTCACGATTATCGATGATAGCGCCACTTACGATGAAGTAATGAAATATTACGAAATTACTGTCGATAAATAATCAAATCACGGAATTAGTTCAGCATATTTCAATACTAAATTTTTATGAAATTTAGAATATAATATAAAATTTTGATTTCGAAAAGAAATAAAAAAAAATCCATTATGTTAGATATTTAGTTAAATTTATTATACAGAATTTGAAAACGAATCTGTAAAACGAATAAATTTACTAAAAAACATCAATCTAAATGTATAAATATCTTCCTCATATTTCTACTTTATTTAAAAAAAAGTAATTAATATTATTTTTAAAAAATAAAAGAAAAAAATAAGTTTTATATTAAAAAATATATGAATAATATATATATAATTAATAATAATAATAATATATATATATATATATATATATATATTATTATATATATATATATTAATCTATTTTTATGATATTTCTTATTTTTTCTTCATTGTGTAATATGGAATAGTATCATGTAGTAAATCTGTATTATATTTTATTCGTGACCGAATAAGTTTCAAGTTTTCAAAAATTTAAACATTAAAATTTTTGATCATTTTTAAATATTTATATAAATAATTTTAGAAATATAATCATGTGATTAAAACTATTTTTGATACAAAATGCTTTTTTTGTGATCTATTATTTGGTTTTAAAAATCTAAATGATAATATTACGAAGAATTTATAAAATATTATGCAGTATGAACGAAAAAGCTCAATTGGATCCTGAATATAATTGGATTATACGAACTTGCACGAATGCTTTTAACGTATATTTAACTATGCTTCATTTTACATTTTACGATAATACTGTAAATATGCATCCAAATATAACCCGTAAGTAAAAAACATTTTCATATAAAATTTAAAATCCTATAAAGTTCAGATAAAGATTAAGATATAACTTTGAATAAAGTTACAGAAGCTTTATCGTACCCTTTATTCATGATGTTGGTGGACCTTGTGGTATATTCCATATTGCAATAAATATTAAAAATTAAATCTGCCCAAAATATGTATAAACACAAAAAACATTTTTATTATTAGAAGAACAAATGTGCGTTTTAATTATCGTCGTTTACATATGTGCTTTACATTACATAGTTAAAATTTTAGATTCCATGATATCCATTATCGGAACCATTTCTATATTTGTGTAAATATCCATTATCATAAAAATCATCTCGATAATTTTTATCATAACCTTCCCTAAGAAGAATATATATTTTTTTTATAATCTTTTTGTCCATGTAGAAAATGTCTATATAATATAATAAACAAATCATTAATTATTAATTATTTGATACATATTAATGATCTAATCTTAGAAATATTATGAAATTAACGATAATCTTTTAATCTTATAATATATTATAATATGAATATCCAAATGAAGGCACATGATCGTTATTATGATAAATAACTAGGTAATATATTTTTTTATCAAAATAAGGCCCTCCTTCGCTTTTTAAATAATTTCTTTTACTACCTCTGTATCGATCATCATTATATTCTCTAACATGATCATCATAATTATTAAAATTAACAAAAACAATAAAATAATATTTTAATTTATTATACTAATTTTATATATTATATATATGTCGATAAATAATTATATTCTTTTGATTTTCATATTACAATTGCCAAAAATTGTTAAAAATGATTTATTAGTACATTTACTTTTTCTTATTATCACTATTTCCGCGTTGTACCTTATCTTTTTCAATATAAAATATGTCATGGGAACCATCCCTAAACGAGTTCTGCAATTTTTACCCATAATCCACCATTATTCTCGGACGATCTATATCCTCCTTCGTCATCATTGTCCTCGTAAAAACTTAAATTATTTCCTGACTCTTTATGGTATTAATGAAACCGGTTCTGTGATGTCCTTTTTTTATAATATTCATTACTATGTCATTCAAAAGAATTTTTTTCATAATCGACGACTTCAAATTCTCCTAAACTATGTCGTCCGTTGTTGTGTTCTTTACGAGCTGTATCATGATTGCCGTATTTTTTTTCCATCTTCCTTATGTTCATTAAATCCTAACTGCCCTCTGTTATAAACGGAATTACCTTGTTTACTTATCTTCTCCTCATCGAAAATTACATTCTCTGCATTGATCTTTTTTTTGTACGATGTCTGCTAAAAAATGATCTAAATTGTTTGTTTTGATTTTGTAGAATGATTCGATCAGGTACATAAAAACTATATTGAATAAAGAAGAAAAACACAATATATCAAATAAAAAACATGTCAATAGATTGTTTGTTTCAGTCGGTTTAATCAATTATAGATTTAGATGTAAATGTCTTTAAATAATCTTTAAAGAATTAAATGCATTCTATATGCATAGATGAAAAGATCCGTAGATATAATGAATGCATGATCTTTTTTCAGATTTACGTATTAAATTAACCCATCAATCAATGAAGCGAATCAAAATCTATAAAGATTGTATAAAAATCATTATTAAATTAATGCATTTTATTGAAAATTTTTAAGAATAGAAACAATATGTTTCATCTTTTTTTGTTTTCTATTTATTCTGTTTAAAACACTCATTATTTTAGAATTCCTTTAATATGTTAAAACTTACAAATAATACAAAAAAAGCTTGAAATAAATTATTCGTAGGTATATCACATAATATTTACAACTTTTCAATGTTGTTGGAGGCACATCTACAATATTCTTATCGGACATAGGTAAGGTAAGAAATATATCGATAATGTAAAAAATATTCAAAACTTATATTTTAAGTCGTCTTTGTGGAAATTCTCGAATGAAGAATTATACAAGACGCTTAATCATATTCTAAGTATCATATGGGTAAGATTAGAGGGGAAAAAGGTGTGGTATATAATACAATCACTAATCATCTTCGTGTTCCAAAAATATCGTAGCTCTTTCTAAAACAGTACTTTCACGCACATTCGCTCGTACATTCTGATTATTAAAATCAACAAGTTTAATGAAGTTACATACCAATTATACAAGTTTATAATTTGTAAACGCAATTTAATAATTGTTCTAGCTAAGGCTTCTAAAAATAGACAATTAAATATTAAACACATGTTTGACTATTTTTTTTTTTTTATAAACTGCGCGAAATCTACAGTAATTTGCCGTAATATCTGCCATTTTATTTAACAAGCAAATGAGATAATTTGCTTATAAGTCATAAATTAACAATTTGGAAGGCAAAGATTTTCCGAATACATATCAAAAAATATACACACACACATTACCATTGTTCTTTATTATGATGTCATAAAATCATAATAGCCGTTCGTGCGCAAAAGGAACACCGTTCAAAACATTCTTTATCGCTCTGTGATTTAGGGTGGTTAGATATTTATTATATATTAGATGATATTGTGAAAAAATAAATTTTTTATTCCACTTCTTATATTCTGGCAGTATGCAAAATTAAGAAAAACACTTCACAACTAAATTTCTTTTATAAAACATTAATATGCGATCTATCACATATCAAAGACTTTTAATTATTGTTGATAGACTTATATTAAAATCGTCAAACAGCAATATGCTTATAATAAAAAAATTTCAGACCACCCCATTCACAGCGATGAATGGACGTTAATTTATTTACAAGTGTTTATACGATTAACATACTTCCATAATTTACGCTTACTTTGTACATGCGCATTTTCAAATTACTACGAATGAATATATTTACACAATTTGGCGGTTTGTTAAAATATTTAAAAATTGATGCGATACAATGTGATCGCGGCACGCTATATTAGTTGCATATGATTTTGGTCGTCCATAATATCGCGACTAATGGAAGAAGTTCTGATCAATTTCACACTAATTTATCATCAAAAATAATACAGATCTACTGAAAAATCCGCCTATAGGTCTCTATGAAATTATTATCTGTTCACTGGCATTTTCATCCTGTTTAACATAATTTACGTCTATAGTGTACACTATCTGATAATATTACCATTGTGATTCTTCTTTAGATTTAAGTTTAACGTCTTTTTTTAAATATAAGCGTGAATATTCATCTTGATAAGTAGCACATTGTGTATTCGATTTGTTAGATTTTTGTATATTACTATTAATTGGTGAATTACTCGGTGAGTATTTCATTTCTTGTAATTCTTGTAATTCTTTTAACGATCTCATCACCATTTGAACATCTTTTTCTTGTTCTGACGGTTGTACTGCATTATTTACTAAATCATCTAAAATAAGTCCAGCGTCTTTTCGTTTATCAGATATTCCCCTTGAAGATGCGTCGTCGTTAAAAATTTGACTTAAATAATTAGTAGCAGCAATTGTTTCTTCATTTTGTCTCTGTTCTTGTTCTTCTTTTGTAAGTGATGGTTGCTGCTGTTGCTGTATAGGCACTACATCCGAATTAATATATCCTAATTGTTTATCTAATACCTTTTGATCTTTTTTCTTTTTCTTAACATCATGCGACTTGTGTTTACTTTCAACACATCGCTCCCGTTTTTTATCTCTTTTTTCAGTCTTATTAACCAAATCAATATCTTTATCTTCTAATTTTTTATCATTCTTTATATCAGTATTTTCATTCAATAATCTATGTTTTAGAGATACCGTTTTTGAAAGTGAAGATGATTGATTTGATGTGGAATAATTAGAATGTTGTGATTGCGTACATGAATATGAAGCTTCCTGTCTGTGTACGGAATGATGTCCACTTTGAGGCACTTCATTTGTATTTGGAAGAACATTTGAAGTTTCAGAATAAGCAGTAATAGAAACTACATCCTTTTTATTTTCATTCATTTTCGTAGATGATTTATGAAAATCATTAACTGGTGTAATAGAAAGAGAACTATTAACTAGGTCCATTAAATTAATTTTCTCCATTTGATTTTTAATAGGTTTCTGAGCCATTAACTGA